GGTCTCCCAAGCTCAGTAGGAGTCCGGCGTTTTCATCAGGAAGCCTAGCTAAGAGTAAACCAATAGCAGGATCCACCACCGTTTTGGTGTGAAACTAATCGCTTGCTGGCAAAAATCTCCCTCTGATCTACAAAGGCCGGCGACCCCCTGTGGTGATGAAGACCTAGGGCAGACTTTGGCCAGACTGATCTCGGGACTCCGGGGAACCATGATGGCTAAACCAGCAAAACTCCGGAGAAAACGGAAATTATGCTGGGCCTCGCACAACCAGTGAAGACGGGTCTTCCAAGTATCAAGTAAGTATCGCCTTTAAGCTTCGCCATGTTACTTTATGTGCACACATTTTTATAAAATTTGTCGATACTTCGAGAACTAATCAATCGTTGGGTAACTCAAACAAGCACAATTAAACAATCTATTTGTCCTTGTTGAAAGTTGTATGGATCAAAAGGAACGTTGATACTTCGACTAGCAAGTGCCAACAGACAGCTTTCCCATTACAACTATCATCTTCCGTGCTACTATGGTTATCAGTCGATGTATAGAGCGACTTTCAATTATGCTATACCTATACACGACGGCGTGACCTCTATAGGAGTCACACGGTGCGAACACAATGGTCATTTTCAAATTTAAATCAAGATATCTCGGAGTGAATTTTATTAAGTACAGTATAATATATTAGGTCTCGATATTCTTGTTGAACAAACACAAGGTGTTATTTTATTCTTTATTCCGTTAAAACTGACGTTTCGGCATTTGATCAATGCCGAAGTTAATAGGAAGTTGGTCATGGGAATTATTACCAGACCTGCCAGCAAGATACTTCTGACTTGTAAAACAAGCGCCGTCACTAAGACAAAAGATCGTCTTTACTCGACAGACTATAAACTTTCTTCGCCGCTGCCTACAACACCAAGTCGTTCCGAACTTCATAAAACGAAAGCGACTTCACGAGATATGCGGTCAACCACAGGATAGTCAACAAGTACAAGGAATCGAGATGAAACTACTTCGAGCTGCACTACGAAGCAAGCAGAACGAGATGTTCGCGGGAATGAAGAACTCTGCAACGAAGGAACATTTTTGTGCTTTGCATTTGGAGGATCACCTCTGGACGAGAACAGTTGGCTTTGAAGAAGGCGATTCTGCCGAAACGCCAGCTTGTTTTTGAATAAGGAATAAAATAACACCTCATGTTAGCTCAACAAGAATATCGAGAACTATTTGATCAATGCCGAGGTTAAGAGAAAGTCGGTCATGGGGATTAAAATATTATAATCTAAAAATCTTTGCCTAAAGGATAAAAACTCTTGTTTCCTCACAGTAAAATCCGAATTTTCGAGTACACTCGACAAATACTTCTTCAGTCTATTCTGTTTCAAGGATCTTATTTTGAACATGAAAACGAAAGGACGAACGGGATTTCCTCTACCATGACAGTATGTTGCTTCCCAATGTATCTCTCATGTTTGCAGCTGCCACACTTGCGTTGGGAATTTTGGAGCTTTCAAATTTCGTTTTCAGTTTTTTGAAAACCCTGACTTCAAATATAATCGTATTTAGAAGAGCACTATACAAAACGTTACACTCAGCCATGAAAAAAGAAGAGGCAGTAGGTAAGTGACTACATCGTGATTCATACTACAGATTCAGCTTAACTGGATGCAACGCCGACTTCTCCTCCCCAGATCAATCCCGTCCACGGGTGATTGCTGATGGCAGAGATCGACAGAACTAGCTGAGAGACAGGCGAAACGAACGAACCACACGATGTGGTGGTGAACACGTTACTTCCCGGAAATGACAATAGAGCGTTCCTTCCCCACCGCAGATATCATCATTGTGAATACACGAAACTATGTACATGAACAGTGTGATAAAGCAACGTCTTTTTTGCGAACTCATAAGGTTCTGAATTCCAGAAACACTTTCCATGAACTGCTATCAAACTTCTCAAAAAAGCCCTAGACGACGTGGCGGTCATAGCCTTTCGAATTCATCGGTTTTTCTGGGCAATTTTCGAACCTTATTAAAGTGTCAGTTATGCACTATCACTTCAATTACGAAAGCTCTACGCTCAAACCAAAAAGTGTTGGAGCATAAATTCTGAACTGCGACCACGGTACACAATATTATGCCGAGCGAAATATAACTTTCATAATGCTGAGATATTTGCAAAACTCAGGACCGCAGGTGTATGCGGTGGGGAACGAACGCGCTATCATCCGTTCAGGTGAGGAACACGTTCACCACCACACCATGCGGGTCCTTCGTTTCGCCTATCTCTCAGCTAGTTCTATCGATAACAGCTATCAATCCCGTTAACGGGTGATTGCTGAATGCGGTCCGGAGTTTTGCAAATATCTCAGCATCATTGAAGTTATATTTCGCAACATACCCTGCCATCAAAAAGAATAGGCAGTAAATAAAACGGTTAAGGTTATGTTGAGCTTCATAGGCCAGAGTTCAAACAAATATTTCAGCTCAACGATGTTTAAGCATGGGCAAAACTCGGAACCGCAGTTGGGCTTCGAACCCCTGATTATTCTTAGTAGGGACTCCGTGCTATCTATCGCACCAACCGAGGCCCCTGCTTTTCTTCTCAATTATCTGTGAGGCACATATCGGCAATGAACGACGTTAAGCTGAAGCTGGAGTAAGAATCATAACGCTAAGTTGAATTCAAGCTAAAATTAAAGTTAAAGTTAGAAGTTAAAATATTTTTTGTTGAAATTCAGTGGAACACTATAATGTCAATCACTTTAACCAGGTATAGCTTGACACCAGCTACGGATAGTCAGAAAACGTTGGTGAGCAAGCATAACTAAATGGAACTGCGAGATAATTCACTGAAATCGTTAAGACAGAGAATCAAAGTAGTCAGATTTGTAGATCGGAATAAATCGAGCACATCACTATTTGGAAAACCATGTGAATTTTTTTTCACTCATCCAGACTTACTCTGAGGCTGAGTTTAGACTGAGTCCATAACAGCACGGCTCTGAGGAAGGCGAAAACACCGAAACGTCAACCATCGACCAACAACACCAGTAGCAACAACAACAACAACAACAACGACAACGACAACAACGAAGACCTACACCAACCTCGCATCGGCTCAAAAAGATCAGTTTATAAGATCGTATTCGTAAATAAATCTTTTTTCTAGTTTTCTCCGCAGAACAACAAAAACACCACATCGAGAGGACGAACGACTTTCGACAATCCACCGGACTAGCAACAATACGGCTCTGAGGAAGATGAAGACCTCTAGGCGTTAGCCGAATAAAGTTTCGTATCAACGTCATGTCAACTTATCAACGAAGAAAGTACACATTAATGTAACTCAAATGCAAATCCCAAGATCAACTAGAAGTCCTATCGCCGCACAAGAATCCAAAACATTTTAAAAAATATAACACTCTTAAAGCGTTCTGGATGGAAAATCCGAGAATCCTTAATGAACCGCAAGGAGTAGTTCCTTGTGACCATGCGTGATCTCGCGCCAGATCTAATCGATCTCTTTGACCTAAACCACGCCTATTTCTCACCTACGAGGGAGTTTTTAAGAAAAGTCGTTTAATATGCTAATGAAAATTCGTGTATTGGATTATGTAAAGTCTTTGTATGAAGAAAAACAGTTAGAAGAAGCAACCACAACGTTGGTGAGATATTTGCAAAACTCCGGACCGTAGGTGGCTAAGGTGGGAGTTGTATTTCGCCTAATACGCTGCCGTAAAAATTGTAGTAGGCAGAAAATAGAAAGTAAAACAGTTGGAAGAAGCTCGTAAAATCCATTGTTTATGAATTATTATGAAAAACGCCTCACAACGATTTCTGCCTTATCGTAACTGGGAGGTGTTCCTGTGTCGGACCGCGATGTACACCGGGAGGATTCATCCCCTCGGCAGGGTCTCCCATGCTGAGAAGGAGTCCGGCGTTCGCATCAGCAAACCCAGCTAAAAGTAAACCAATACCAGGATCCATCACCGTCTTAGTATCAAACTAATTGCATGGTGGCAAACCTCCCTCTGATCCACAAGGGCGGCAACTACCTGCCGTGGTGACGACCTGGGGCAGACTTTGACCAAGTTGATCTATGGACTCCGGGGAACCACAATGACTTAGCCAGCATATCTCTGAAAAATGGTGATTATGCTGAGACCCGCACAACTAGTGAGGACGGGCCGTTCAAGTATCAAGTATTAAGTATGAAAAACGCTATTATTGGTACTAGACGTGGATACCTTTATGGCCTATCCTCACTGGTTGTACGAGCCTCAGCGTAGTTTTCATTTCTTCAGAGTTTTGCAGGTTTAGCCATCATGGTTCCGCGAAGTCCCGAGGTCAGCCTGGCCAAAGTATGCCCCAGGTCTTCACCACCACAGAGAGTCGCCGGCCTTTGTGGATCAGAGGGAGATCTGCCACCATGCGACTAGTTCCATACCAGAACGGTGATGGATCCTGGTATCGGTTTACTCTTCGATAGGCTTCCTGACGGAAACACTGAACTCTTTCTTAGCTTGGGAGGCTCTGCCGGGGGACGAATCTCCCCGCTATACATCGCAGCCCGACACCTAGAAACACGTCCCAGCCACGATAAGCCAGTAAACCATTGGGAGGGTCGTTACTATAACTCAACAAAAGTACGAAGACTACATTTCTGGATGTTCTTTATCATTCGTGGATTCGTCGCTACAAAAGCAGATGTATCGTATATTGTCGCATTACTACAATGTATTGCATGATATAAAATTTTTATATTAAGAAAAACCGAATTAAATGCGCTGCTCTACGACACCATGAAATCGACGAATAATTGCGTCCAGTCGGAAAAAACGACATCCCGGTCGTCGCTAGATTGTCTTGCATCCATAAATTTTCTAGAAACTTCTTGGGAACTTGTTCATGGCCCTTATTTATTGAAAATTCAGCGACTAGTAATGTTGTAAATACGACGTCTTTCCTATGATCATCGTCTGTTCATTGGCTAATTAATGTTACGAAGACTCGGTGGTTCGTCGAGTTCGCTCTGGAGGCCAAAAAATCCTCATTCGTTAGAGTATTTGAAGTAAGGTTTTCTGTGTCTTCTTCTTATTCTTTATGTCATTCTTTTATAAAGAAGAAAGACTTGGTGGCATGTTGACTTTGCTGAAGTCCGTCAGGTCTTCGTTTCTGTCTTTCTTCCAGGTATTTACATGGAGTTTTGGTGAAAAACGAAAAAGTAGTGGAAAGTAACCGAAAAATTCTTGTGGAAGCACTTCGAGCGATCGCTGAGATTTTGATTTGGGGTGATCAAAATGACAGCAGTGTCTTCGAGTGAGTTCTTTTGTACTGAACGCTTCATTTTTGTCCAGAGTTCAACTGTCTTCATAGTTTTCGTCATTTTCTGTGAAGTTTCTTTCCATTTACTATGAGATGGTTCTCCTACTTTTAGTCTTTTTCTCGAACGGCAGATGCTTTCGTACTTTCTGCAAATCATGAAACAAGACGGTGGCTCACTGAATGTACAGCTCTTACAAACTCTAAACATTCTCTTCGAGAATATTCGTCATGAAACTTCCTTATGTAGGGTTTTCAGTCTTCTGGTTTGCCTACGACATTATCTCACGACTGTGTTTCATTAGGTTTTATCACCCAAGTCTTTGCAGACTTTCTTCTTAGCAATAATCACGTTAACTCAATAATCACGCACAATTTTGATTTCAACAACGAGGAGATTATGGCATACTATATTTCTTTCTTGAAAACACTCTCGTTTAAACTCAATCCTTCGACTATCCACTTCTTCTTCAACGAGGTAATGCCCTTCTTTCATGATCTTCATTTTTATTTTCATTTTCTTTTTTGTTTATATGTGTGTAATAAAGGGCAGATGTACTACAGTGGTTGGAGACGTCCTGAAACACATATGGGGTCGATCCGCGCTCCCCAGGCTCACCAAGCCCATCCCTCCGGGGTCGGCAAATTAGTAGCAGACTTGTCTAGGAGGAGAGTCGCACATTTGATGCGTCGGTAGGCCACTGCGAGTAATTGTAAACGCCAACTATGCATCCAGTCACCTTCAACGATGCTTGATGAAGTTGAGTGCATGGCCCATCCCTCAGAGATTGATCAACACCTAGAGCTTTATCATTTTTCATGTCTGTATATACAAGTGTAATGTGTAGCAATGTATTAGTATACTATGTATATTATATATATAATGTATTAATATACTTGTGTGTATACACTTATGTACAGCTCTACTTTAGGCCACGGACGAGTTTCCACTTTTAACTGAATCACTAAAATTCTTCGACTCAACAGAAAGTATGGTACGTATTGCTGTACGGAACATCGTATTAAATATCGTCCGGGTTGACGATGCTTCCATGACGCGCTTTGTCAGAACTGCAATAAAGGTTAGTTTTTGTCATTTTATCCTCCGATCGGTTTACCGCCGCATCATAGCTGGGAGGTGTTCCTGGATGTCGGGCTGCGATGTACAGTGGGGTAGGGGAGGGGGGAGGGAATTCATCCTCCCGGCAGGGTCTCCCAAGCTGAGCAGGGGTTCCGCGTTTCCATTAGGAAGCCCAGCTACGAATAAGCGAGTACCAGGATCCACCACCGTCCTGGTATCAAACTAGTCGCATGGTGGCAAACCTCATTCTGATCCACAAAGGCGATTACTACCTATGGTGGTGACGACCTGAAGCAGACCTTGGTCTAGCTGACATTGGGACTCCTGGGAACCATGATGGCTAACCCAGCAAAACTCCGAAAAAATGGGAATTTTGCTAGGGTCCACACAACTAGTGACGATTGGCCATTCAAGCAAGCAAGCAAGTTTGTCATTTTGTAGTTCCTAAGCGACTCACTAACGATGTTTAGGCTTGGTTTAATTTTTCGGTTGTTCTTTTGTTATTCCTACCTTTTAGGTATATCTGTTTGAGTTGGTTGATAACCTCGTAGCACAGGCAATTGAGCTGGACACTTTTATACGATCTGCCGAAAATGTAATTGCCAATAGAGAAAGGTTACGGGACAAGGTAGGATTGTGGATAAGAGCAAAGATTTGTGCTCTGTTAGTGTGATTTTATGATTCCTTTCAAAAGTTCAAAAGAAAGAAACATGGTGAATGGCGAACTCCGGGGGTGTTATGTTGCATCTTGTTTCCTTATCGTTCTTACCATGCTTAACTACGAAATACTTTACCCAGAATGTACAAATTAAGACTTTAGGCCGATGATCTGGTCGATCTTCTCCATTACATTGGCGAACTGTTGGATGTTACCGTTGTAGCGGATTCCTTATCTGATTTGCTAACAAACCGTTTCCTGATTCCTATTCTCCTCAACAGCCTTGCACCACGATTCGATAACCATGCGATTTTGCTCACTCCAGTATCGAGTTTCTTTTTCTTCGCTCAGTTCTTGTTGGTTCGTTTATTGTCGTTATGAATCCATATGTACATTAGTATGTAGGTTTTTTCTGTTCGTAATGTGATTTCAAAGAGAAATCCTTTTTGTGTATAGATTTTTTGTCACTTATTGAGATTTTCGAGTGAGATATACATATATTTCAAGGTGATTTCGCACCGTAGTACCATACAGACTTTTCTGTCGGCATTTCTTTTCGAAGATGTTCGACTTCTAACATCACAATGGGTTCGTGATGGTGATGTTTACAGCTTACAACTCATCAAGCGACCATCAAAAATTGATGAAAGGTTGGTAGTTAGAAATTAAAACTCTTGTATTTTTGTAAAGTTGTACATCTGTCTTCCTAATAACTCTAAAGCCGACCTTCTATAAGCCTCGACATAAATAATCGATGTATTTGCTTACATGTTCTTATGAGCTGATCTTGTTGAGCTGCGAGGTTGGTGTAAGTTGTCGTTGTTGTTGTTGGTCGATGGCTGACGTTTCGGCGACGTTCGAGACCTGGAACACACATCGAGAGCGAAACAAAGATGAGACGGTCATATAATGAGAAGAACAGAGGACAGATGGACGAAAAAAAATTGCAGATTGGACTCCATGAGGATACAAGAGTCTTTTAGGACGACCACCAGCACATTTGTTGGACGTGTTCCTAACTAAAGCCGAACAACTCGCAGCAGCACTACTCTGAGGGTTGCGAAATCGTCGAGACATCAGCCATTGACCAACAGCAACAACGACAATTTATACCAACCTCCTATCACCTTAACAAGATCAGTTCATAAGAACATGTAAACAATTATGTCTTTTCATAATTCGATCGCTCATTAATCTTTCCGTAGTAAGCATTGAGATTTAGGGTCTTTTTCGAAGCATTGTTGTGCGCGTTTGATTCGAGCAGGAACGATGATTATTTGTCGTTTTATGGTCTAATGCTGATCTACGCAATGTTTCAGAACAAAGGTTACTGAGATTTGTGCTACTCTTTCCTTTCTTATTTACCTATGATATCAGCTTTACTTGGGTTTTACCCACTAACACTGCTTTTTTCGTTTCATAATTCGCCTAGCGTTGTACCCTGACATGCTACTTCTAGAGAGTGAGTTTATTTTCCATATGTTGTTGTGTCTCGACCCTTCGACTATACCGAGTTATACAGCAGTTCGTCAATGTTAAGATTGTGATTCTCACCAAGCTCACTAAACCTTCCATTCTGCCGGAGTCGGCAAATTGGTACCAGATTTCTCTGGGTGGAAGGCTGCATCTGCTTGATACATCGGGGTGCTACTGCGAGTCATTGTATAGGAGGCAAGATATGCATTGAATCGCCTCTAACGATGCTTAGTGAAGTCCAATGCATGGTGCATCCATCAGGGATAGATTCACGCCGAGAGCTCTAACCTTTTCGGCTTAAGATTGTGATTTCATAGCTTATTCGTAGCATGGTGATGTGTTCGTACTAGACGATTTTCCTTATTTTGCATGCAGGATTTGTGTTTTTTTTTTACAATTGTGCGCCTCTGTAAAACATAACTATTTAGGTAATGTTGGGGAGCTGCTTTCTGCTGCCAATCTTCCCTATCGTCATCGTCTTCAAAGAACTAGACCATCGAATTCATCGTATCCCAGAAATGAATCCCTCATCAAGGTGAGTCATTGACTACTTTAATGCTCTAGGTCACTTGTGACCAAAATGCTTGCATTTCTTTCTCCAGTCGTCAAAACGATACCTGAATAAGATGTATTGCATCTGTTTAGCAGTTTTTCATTTTATTCGTAGTTTTCTTGGGTAGTTGTGCCCCATTGTTCAGTTCATGGACTTTTTATTTTTCTATAAGTAGACGTATTAAGCGCTATGGGCCCACTGATTTATTTACAGAACTTGCCGAACTATGTCTATGTGGTAGTGCATTATGAAAGTATAGTGGGTAGGGACCCGCATAGTGTGGTAATGAACGCGTTAACCGTCGGAGAGGGTAACAACGAGTTCGATCCCCATCGCAGACAAGTGCGGTCTGGAGTTTTGCAAATATCTCGACATCATTATGAAACCAGTTTTCGAACTGTGCTATAAATTGTTATCTGGTTTAGGTTTCATCAGTGGAAGCATTAACTGAGGCAGCAACGTGTGATAGACGGATTATTGACGCATTATTGTCAATAATTGATGCTGCAGGAAATGAAGATAGCAGACTTCGTCCTGTAACACTCGAATTGGCGTGTTTAGTGTTGAGACAGATACTGATGGTAGTAGACCATGATGAGGTAATTCGCAGATTTGGTTTTATCTGTCAATAAACAATAGCTTTTACTCCTTTCACCCCCACCCCCTCCGTCCCGCTTTCTCTCCACCTCTCCCTTTCCCCCTTTCCCTGCCCCTTCTCTCCCCTCCCTCCTCTCTCTAGTAATGGTCGTATACGTGGTTGTAACATTTTGTCAGTAAAAATATTCTTTATGGAAGTGTAAAGTAACTGTTTCTCCTTTACTTGTAATCTACCAATCACGTCTATTATTGCTCACATCCAGATGCACTCGTCTATTGGAAATAAAGCAGCTCACTCATTAGCTTGCTTGGTCGATCGCCTAGGACTTTACGTGAATTCCGAGCATTTGTTTCTAGAGTGGTTTGAGGACGAGTATGCTGAATTTGAGGTTCGTTAACTCATCTAAAGTGATGTGAAGGCATGTTCAGCTTGTTTTTTCTTGTTCCATAGTTTTTCTGAACTTGTTCTTCCAGGTAAATCACATTAAGATCGAAACTATTGGGTATGAAATGCTATTGCCTCCATGTAACACTGTTATGTCTGGGCTATCACTGAATAAAAGACTTCCAAGTGGATTTGAGGAGAAGATTCGTTCGGTAAGAAATTGTAAACTGGTTCATAAATAAACAACACAAAAAGGGAACATAGTTATCGTAACATTCAGCATTTTCTTCCGTTGTTATAGGTGATACAATTTTACTTCCATGTTCGCAAATTATCCAAGGACATGTTAGGCGAAACGGAAACGGAAATTCCAGTTCGCGTTGGCAACAATTTAGCTGTAGAAGTTGGCGACTGCATCAACCTTAGTTAGTTTTGTGACCCTTACTAAGTTTATCTGAGATTGTTGCTTTTGTTCTAATGTTTTAACTTTTATTCTTATCGAGCAATACCTTATGAAAAAAGAAGCACAGAAAATAGATGTTTAAGATTCGTGCTTCTATTATTTTTTCATACTTTGGACTTATGTATTAGATAACTCGGATCTACTGTCGTGTGTGGTCGTGATCAAAAATGAGCGCTTCTCGCGATTCCTCGTCACGGATCGCCTTCAGCTGATATTAGTGGAACCTGATAATCGGAAAGCAGGATGGGCTATCGTCCGATTTGTTGGATTGTTGCAAGTATGTTTGTCAAATTCACTGAAACCTATTAATGGCGATATTTTTATAATACCGCACCCGACAAATGTAATTATTTGGAGGAAACAGCCGAGTATCGTGATAATGAGTGGATTTTATTTTGTTTTTGTACTTTTTCAATACCATGCTTCCCAATGACACAGGATGAAATCCGAGCTCTCTCCATTCAACTGAATTCCTCTTATCGACAAGCATTGATTTTTGAATAGGTCCTCACAGAGGAGCAAAATTAGTGAAACGCCACCAATTAGCAAGAGAACTGCTGTTTGGTTGTTCGTCTTTTTGATCGCAGAAATAATCCACCTTGTTGGGATGGTCATTTGAATCAAGTAGTATGTGTAAGTGGAGAACGGATATGGAGGCTTATCTGTGCTTGAGAATGATTAGCACTAAACATATTACCCTATTGTACTTATTCTACGTGATCTCTGTATCAAACATGCCTGGTACCAATTTTCTGATCCCGGAGGGATGGAAAACTTGTTGAGTTTATGGCACGGGAACGACCCGGAGACCAATCCACTGCGCTGTACACTCCCACTGCGGTCATGTACAGCTCAAAGTACATTTAGAATCTAATCCTATCGTAGTATACGAAATTTTACGGTGTTTTGATCTCTGTCATTAGTCGATTGACATCTTGGCTCTGTCTTGTGCTGCTCGATTCTTTCGTTCTGCGTTCGCACCGCATTGAGAAGAAAAGTAGTATTCATTCGTGAAATCGTCAAACAATATAGTCGGGTCTTAATCTATGTCATGTGTACTTTATTGAGGTAGATTCAAGTTTCTTAAGTGTGGAGGGTCCATGAGGCAGTCGAAGATTACCAGGCAGTGCATAAGGTTGCTAGTGGCCTACATTCGTTATAAAGTGGAAACTGCAGCGTAGGACTAGTGAATTTCGCTAGCTCCTCAACAATGCTGCGAAAATGCTCGGCGATCCCAAAACTTATATGAACGTTCAATTCATTTATGTATCCATAAGGATGAAGTAATGCTATGGTTTTAATTTTTATACAGGACACACAAATTTCCGGAGATCCATCAGACAGCAAATCACTTCATGTCGTTGTCGAAGGGCAACCAACTCGTCAGCAGGTTGGTATTTTTGGTGTAAATCATGTCGTTATAGTACACGACTAGTCGTGTTTTTGAAAGGCTAGGCAACAGCACTCTGAAAAATATTCGGATTCCTGTCCATCTTGGAGAAACAATCAGTTCCTTAGTAGAGGGTTTGAACACAAGGGTTTGGTTACAGTTTCGATTGAAATATCCGCCTTTTAATGCAGCGAACGTTGACTTTGATGGCACACATGAAGCCGAGCTTTGTTCTCCACTCCGTAGTAGGAGCTTGTATAGGATTTATTTTGATTGCTAACAGATCTTTAAGAAACGCCAAGCTCTGCTGACTGCTCGTTTCGTGTTCGACGACCATATTCGATGCATGGCGGCGAAGCAAAGGCTCACCAAGGTAGTTCGCTTTTTGCAAAGAAAAAAGTTGTAGCTTGTGTACAGAATATATGATAACCTTTCTTCAGGGACGTCAGACTGCACGTGATCTAAAACTACAGGCTATATGTGACCTTTTGGGTGTTCAACGTATCGGTTCAGCATCGCCGCGTGCAAATCCATTCCGAATCATTAAGGGATGTGCTCCAGGGAGTATACGGAAACAGGTTGGCCGTTATTTTTCGCAGACGGTAAGAGAAATAGTATTGACTTCTTCTTGTCGTGTATTTCTATGTTTTTGTTGAGTTTGTCGCTAGACCGGGGTCTACCTATTAGCAAAATAGTTCGTGAAAGAAGAATATCCGATAGCATCATTGTCTGTGGACTTGTGTGCGACAGTGACACATGTTCGTTGTTTCTACCCTGTGCTCCACGTTAACCAAGCCTCACATCCCTCCATGGGCTACTATATGGTACCATACTTGTTTCGAACGAGGAGAACACTGACTTGATGTCAAATTTGCAATGAGTCACTTCTTAATTCACTAATGCGGAATGTGTAGGGCACTTTTAAGGACTGACTAATGTCGAACGCTTTATCATTTTCTCCTTCGAACCTTATTACTCCGTTCATTTTACTACATCTAAAAAACATCGTTTGTGTAAAATACATGTGTTTGAGACTACATGTATCAATGCTTTCATTAAAAAAAAGAATTAGAACTTCGAAGAAGAAACTTCCATTCGATCGCCTCAAATGTTGGTTGAGTTTGTGCTAAGCCGCTGCTGATCTCCGCATGAGTCATGCTTTTAGAAAACTTCCATTTCCAGTGGCGGCTTTCTTCTGAAGAGACGAATTTCCTTGGAAGAAGGGTGCTGAAGCTAGGAGTCCTGCAAGACTTCTTCCATCCCTATTTCTTCCTCCTAATCCAAATTTTCTGATCCTGTATTCGCTCTCGTTGGCCTTTCCTATGCTGGTGTTGAAGTTTCCGATAGATAATTTTTAATAAGCTTTACCATAGCGAATAACTCCCTCCAAATGCTAGTAGAATGCATCTAAGTCGTATTCACCAGCTGCATCTGCCGATGATTAGCAATTGATGGTAGTGGTCTTCTTATGCCGGACTGGTTGGAGATGGAGGATGGTAATGAGGATCTTGTATGAGTCGGCAAGATGGAGAATAAACGGGTGGACGGCAAAACCTACGCCACCGACATTTCGTGACGGGGTCTTTTCTTCAAGGGTCCTGCTCTATAGTTGGCGTATGTCGATCTTCTTGCTTTTTGTTTCTTATAGGGGGGATCTCGCATAAGACTTGATGCGATCTGCTGCTTCAAGAAGAAAGAAGAAGGAAATCGGCGTCTAAGGAGAGTGTTCTGGTATTATACGTGCAGAATAAGAAACATTCTTCATGGCGTGTCGTGTGTTTATGTGTGTTCGTCAGATCTTGTTCCAATGACATCTTGCGTAACTCGAGATTTTGGCTCCTCTCACAGTTCACCTCACAGTCTGACAGAGACGAGAGCACCCAGTCAGGCTGGTCCATTTCTCGTTCGGCAATTTAATCGTAGTTGGAGTACTAATTTAGCCTTGCATGGGCGTTTTCTGGTCATCACCACGATGTGGACCCAAGAGGAGTATCTCTTCGACAGTGATTTCTTTGATCAGCCTTTCTACCAGTCCATTTGGACACGACATTAAGAAACGAAATCAAAAGTGAAAGTAGAAATGGAAAAGGACCGACCAATCATGGGTAATGTACAAGCTGGACTCGAAGTCTGACGAAATTTGTCTTTAGTGAAAAAAATGGTTTAGAAAGGTGCAAAAATTAGAAATCGGTTTTTTGTACGATTATAAAATACGTCTTTGCATATTCTACTGAATATATGTTTCGAGTAGACGAAAAACAAGTGTTTCTCGAAAAGTATGCACTAACAATTATTGCGTTTAGTTCGACATGCCGATGGTAACATCGCGTTCCTCCCAAGGATCTATGAATTCCATACCGGATGACCCGTTGCCACGCTTTTCGCCAAAATCTACAGAAAATGGAATAAAACATGTGTAGAGTTTCTCTTTAACACTGATATGTTCTAGTTTTCTAGTGTAGATAGTAGAGTTCTCCTTTCTCACTTACAGACATCATTTAGTGGATAGTTCTAGTAAGTAAATAGTAGTCAGGTTATTGTTTGTATTTTTAATATCTTTCAAACACAGTGCAGAGCGATTAAAATGGTGTACAAGTGGCGATATTATGCTGTGATGAAATGTTTTTAACATTTGTATAGTGTTTCTTACTTACTTTATTAGCTCACCTCAATAGTTTCAGGACGTCTAATTGTACATTCTTCAAAGTGTTTACTAAATCAAAATTTGTATACTTGTGTTAGCTCACTAATAACGATCTGTTAACTCCTACCATCATCGTCGCATGTCTTATCAGAAATGGTTCGAAAAACCCGTATTTCATGTAAATACTTCATGTTTTAGCAAAATGTGATTTTACGTGTTGTCTTTTTCTAATATCTAATTTCCCAGTGATTTTTGTGATGTGGAGCATGTGTACTTTGTAAATACTAGTAAAAATATTTATAGATTGGAACTCAAGTAAAATGTATTCCTACTGGGACATTTGTTAGTCTGGGCTGGCGTCTGGGAAATCGAGATTGTTCATTGTCGTAAATAGTTTCGAAACAATAGATAAACATCGTATTTCTAACCAACCTGTTTTGAAAAACCGATTTTGCTTTAATCTTAGCATTAGTTATCAGCACTTTGTTACATTCGTAAGTTTATACGAGATGTGGAGTGAACTCATGCAAAGTCTACTTCACTAAATCTGACCCTGTGCGCATATGAAGAAACACACATTGCAAAGAATAACTTCTGTGGAAATCTGCTTAGAATCAGTGCGGTTCTAAAGAAGGCGAAGACATCGAAATGTTAATCAGAGTACAAAGTTCTTGTGACAACCGAATGCAATCTTATTAAAACAACGGAATGCTTGTTAGAGAGTCTTCACTATCAGCGGGGGTGGATAATACATGGTTTTCTGTTCCGAAGACGCCTGATGGCTGTCGGAAAGACTCGCGTCCATTTCGTCCTGCACACACTACGATTTGGACAGGAGACATGCCGGCTACAAGAACCACCCAATGAGCAACTTTGTTTCATGCCTTCTGCTCTAAAATCCTGTTCTTCCTATGAATTTTGGCAACAATTTCTGCTTTTCTCATCTGGATCTTTTTCCTTGTACTTTCTGATGTTTTTGTTAAAAGATTTCCAACTTTTGCACGTAAAGAGAACAGAACCCGAAATCTTGTGCACCATTATATTGTGGTGCTGTAATCATTTGGTAGTTGATTTTGCAACATACGTACAGTAGATTTCAGCATTTTCAATGTTCGACCATTCCACATAATAAATATGATTCGGATGTAACGCAGTGGCTAGAAGTGCATAGCAACACACACGTAGTCTTTGGTTAGATCCTATCCCAGGACTCACAAAGCGTTCCATCACTCTGTGATTAGGAATTGATCAGCGCAAAAAGCTTTGCCCTTTTTTCCTTTATGCATATGTAAAGGTGCCGAAATTGACTCAATATCACTTGTGTATCATCCGTGTGGTAGTCGAGCAACTCGAGCAGGCGCCAGCAAATCTTCCATTTCTCCCTGTGGTGTACAAGAACAGTGAGCACCATATCATTCTTCTAGGGTTTCGTGAAGGATTCTGGCCATCGAATCGGTGGTCTTCCTGCAGCACGTTTGACACGCCGAGGAATCCAGTCACTAAAGGCTCTTGACCATCGGTTGTCCCTCACACTCACTACGTGCTCACCTATCTTTGACAGTTTGGCGTATAGAATGGAATTTTGGTTTTTGATCGTTGACGTAGATGAGAGTTTCGACCCCTCTCTCACTCCTGCAATTCTAAACACTCCCTGCATCGTTCCTTCTACTGCGCTTTTATAACGTCGAGTGATCTTTCATCCTGCTTACGTAGCGAACAGGCCTCTGACGCATACGTTAAAGCAGGAAGTACCGTTGAGTCGAAAAGGTGGGCACGGAATCGGCTGTTCTCTGTTCTCCTCACTACATTTCCCATGCTGTTGAAAGCTAACCAAGCTCCTTTTTCCTCCGCTCAATTATGGAGCAAAATCGTTCATCGTGTTGATTTCCTGACCTATATAGGTGTAACTGGAGCAATAGGAAATATTCGTTCCTTTGAGCGTGAATGGAGCATATGAAACAAATCCGTTCCTCATGAACGTCGTTTTATGATATTTAATCGAAGACCAGTCATTCCACAGACGTTATCAGAGTCGGCTAGCATTCTTTTCGCTCCGCTAATACTTGGTGTTACATGAACAATGTCACCAGCAAAGCGAAGATGCTGTGATTGCTGACCATCGATTTTCACTCCCATGTCGTCCCATTCCAATGTTCCCATGACGTTCTGGAGTGTGGCGGTAAATGATTTTGGCGATATGGTATCGCAATGTTGAGTCTTTACGTCGATATTAGTATCGTAGTAGACTGGTGATACATTGGTTGTGAAAATTTTATACAGCTCACGAAGAATCTACATATACTGAGTAGGAACTCCTGGCTGTTTAGGGTACCATGAGTTCTTTTATCTCATCTGAGACAAAAGCTTTCTTTAAATCGATGAAAGTGAGATGGAGTGGTCTCTTGTACTCTCGTGACACTTCAGCGAGTCGTGTTATCGTGTGGATGTGGTCAATCGTACTAAATCTTTTTCGAAACCCTGCTTGCTCACATGGCTTTCCTTCGTCTAGTGTTCTGTCAATCCTATTTGGAACGACTCTAGTGAAAAAATTGTAGACGAGGGACAGCAAGCAGATTGGGCGATAGCTGCCGATATCGTGAAGGTCACTTTTCTCTAAAGATGGCACGGCTTTGCAGAATCTTCCACTGATAAGGAACCTTGTATTCTGACAGGTAACGTGTGATGAGCCAGGCCAGTATGTTTATGAGGACTGGTGGAAGGTTCTTCAGGTGTTTAGATGTTATTCTGTCCAGAGTTGGTGTTGTTCGATTGTGTTCGACGAAATAGCATGTCAGATTCCGGATGGTAGACCCAGTAGGACAATATTTCCGTCCTTTTCTAGATCAGATGAAGGCAGGAGGACTACTGAAGAGACACGAGTTGTAATCGTAAACGATTTTTTTTTCCATTGCCTTTCTGGACGCTGTAATTGCTGCGTCGGGGGGTCGGAGTGCAACCATCTTAGTCTTGTAATTGGTGGAGCTTCGGTCGGGTTTGTGAATACTCTTTCCGGCCTCTGCAGCTTCGACGCTGCTCTTCTCTCTTTAAGATATTTTATCATCTGTCTGCATTGTTTTCGACGTGAGTTAGTGGTTGCCCGTGGCTCGTGCGATTCCGCGCTGGCGTATCAGCTCGAGTGTTTCTGGAGACAGATGTCTCTTGGTGTCCTTCGGACTCTCAGCCTTCATAGCAGTAGAGATATTGTATGAACCGATCGTATTCTTCGTCGATGTTATCAAGAACGGCATCTTCTGAACAGCCGGCTAATGAACTGAACAAAAGCCCAGTTTACAGTGGTTTTGTGACTTCGTTTGCTGACTTCGTAGCGGCTTTTTCTTCTTTCAGCGATAAATAAAATCTGCACAGAGGAGATGATGGTTTACCTGTGTAGAATTTTGAGACAACAGCGAGATCGGTTAGGTTGCGAGCAACCATGAATAGTCGTGGTCGTCATGATAAACTCAATCGGTCACCCTGTTTGTTCCATTCTAATCTGTGGGTATTAATATGACGTTCTTCACACCTTCTAGGTTCAGTTCTAGCATTAAAATCTCCAGTGATGACCTCAAAGAGTGGAGTGTATTTTCTTCTGTATAGAATTTCTTCATGTTATATATACATGTTATATATATGTACATATATATATATATATATTCTATGTAGAACACCTCCACTTGGTCTTCGTCATGGCTTGATGTCAGTGTGTAAACGACGAAGATTGTCAAAGCCGGTATTGATCGGCATCTTAATCGTAAACGTCCGGTTCGGGTTGTTAGCTGTTTAAATGAATCCATGGTTCTGGCCAAAGTCGTGTTAACGAGAACGCCAACGCCGCCGACCCCTTCACTATTGCATGTTCTGAAGAACAATTCTCTGGTGCCATAAACAGCGTTGAATGGGTTTCAGCCGGCCCCATGACGTCGTACCTTATCCTACTTGCCTGCATGATAAACTTTTCTATCGATAACCTATTTGCAAATATGCATACATTATAGGTACAGATCGTTATCTTAGTTCTTCGATTAAGACAGCCTAGAATGACGCTGAGACCTCTCTTTACTCGTCCTACCCAACGCTGCCATATCGGGGGTGCTTTCGAAGGTAGGGGAATGAGGCCCATTTATTTTAGTGTGTTCAGTGTTTGATACCCGTGTAAAGCTTACTTTGCTTCCGGCGTGGGTGGTGCTTATTTGTTGGAGGCGAATCCTAACCTCCTTCCACACATTTCCGTGTTACTTGATTGGCTTTTGGCAGAATTGACTCGTAGAATACAATCCGCATAAGCAAGAACGCACCCACACACACACATGCATGAATACTCCTAGCAAACACAGAAGGTATGAACCAAATCAGCGCAGCAGAAACAAGGTGCCCATCCCCTGGATTCACCTGCGTCTCAAGGAAGCAAAAAAGCGCTTTTGGTCCGCGATTAACCCCCTATCCACCACTTGGAGACGCGCCACGTTGCCTCGCAACTAACCACCAGTAGATTCCTCTATGCGAGAGATCCGTGGAAACTCAACATAACGGATAAAAAATACCTCCAAGCGCTGACAGCGAAATCGGACAGCCACGCTATGGTGCCCCTCATTTATGGGTTACTGTAGTTGAGTGTATGGCGCGTCGCTTGGGGACTGATCAACAGCGACACCTTCAGGCATTTTTAACCATTGTTCGTTGTAATATTCGATGGTAAGTAGAACATAAAAATTGTAGAGGTTGTAATTTTTGGGCATGATATTTGTAACATCAATAGAACGTTATGATAATAAAAAAGCACATTGGTGAATATAAAGCTCACCACTAATAATTCATGTTGTGGGAACCGTTTTGGCAGTGACGATGTCTCACTGTGAAGCAATATCATACGATAAAGTTTTCTTATACATACTGAATGTAAGATCTACGTCTAGGGAGCTGGTAGCGCAATGTAGTGCTCACTACTGCTCACTACGCGGACGGGCTAACGTACACGAGCTTGCTCGGCTACTCACTGGCCCACCAAGTCTCTGATCACTCCTAGGTCGAAGAATTTGTACCACACTTGTCTGGAAGAAGCTTACTCTCTTCAATATATGTGAGAACATCACAGCTCGGCTATCCCAGAATGGCAGTGATGATAGACTCAACTAATATTCAGCAACATTTGTGACGAAGATAGAAAATCCTCAAGCAGAAGCCGGAGCCACACACGAAGAAAGCTCGAAGACCATTGTGGATGGCGGATGAGAGGAAATGAACCGGGTGCATGAAATGCTGAGAACCGTATAGTGTGTGCGTATACACATGTAGTAATGTAATAAATAAAATATAACCTCAATGATGCTGAGATATTTGCAAAACTCCGTACCGCAGGTGTTTGCGGTGAGGAACGAACGCGCTATTGTCCTTTCCGGGGAGTAACAAGTTCACCACCACACCATGCGAGTCCTTCGTCTCGCTTGTCTCTCAGCTAGTTCTATCAATCAGCGCCATCAGCAATCACCAGTCAGCGGGATTGATCTGGGGATCTCAAATCGGTAATGAACCCAGTTAAGTTGAGGCTTTTAGTTATTAAAAAAGAGTAGGCAGTAAATAAAACGGTTAATCTTCTGTTTGTTTAAGAAGGAAACACTGGTCAACAGTAATGTAGTTGTACGTAAGTAGACGAGAACACGTGAGTTCGAAGTGTCTAAAAAGCACTAGGGAACATATGTAAGACTTTAGAAGAGGAGCGGAAAACACGAACAATCGAAGAAACTAGTAGAATAGATAGAAAGTCGGATATAAAGAGGAAAGTAAAACAAAAAGTGCCTGCCTATTTGCTAGTGTGGGGAGGGGGGGGAGTGGGTTAGGCTGGCATGAATTGGTGTCAACTCATAGTGGGCGCGGCGAGAAACCACGCGTCTAATAACTACGATAGCCACATGGACTTGGGCGTTGGTCTCTAATGGTCTCTAAATGTTAACTATTGGTCGACTCGCCTACGAAGTTCAGAATCAGCGCCATCACTGGCTACATTTGTGGACTCGTACTGAGTGGTTTCTTAAGATCCTTAAGCAAAGTGTAAGTGTGGCAGCGGCAGCTTATGTGGACTGTTTTGATCAACATTATGAACGTAAAACCCCCTATTGTCCATAGTTCTTCGAAGATTTCGCGGACCGTGACATCCACTCCTCGCGCAAATCTGCACTGGAGCACATTTTCCACCTGACATCAACTCTGCACTTAAGGTAGGTAACAAAGGTAGCTAAAGGATAAGTTGCATTCATGTGTGCTGTTTTGGTTGGCTTTTATTTTTTCTTTTAAAATTCAAATGCATTTGAGAGGCTTTAGTGTTTCCTTGTTAAGAGGAAAGCTCATACGTAGGTAAAAAATATTTTTAAAAGAAGGATTAGAAAGACCCTTATGTTGCAGGCACCAACGGTTCGGTGTTTTGCAAATATCTCAGCATCGTTCTGGTTGTACTGTTGTTATTATTTCTACTACTAATTATCATGTTGATTATTTTACTACCGAGGCTAAATGACCGTCGGTTTTGAAAATTATTGATTTGAATTGTTCATAGATCCTAAGCAGAATGTTATTGATTCAACCAACTGTAACTTTTATTGACTTGTTTGTTTGTTTGTTTATTTTTAACCTCAGGGTCTTACAATTCATAAAACAGAACCATGATGGAGAGATCGACATAGTTCGTAAGTTGTTAGTGCTTATACTTATTTTCATCTCCTTTATGTTTTATAGCGTATAAATTCACCATGGACCATGTCTTCCAGGAATTAAGTAGTGCTTTCGCTAGGTTTCCTGAAGAGGCCTTGGTAGTTTTGGAAAAGAATTTGCCAGCTTTAACACTATTATACATTGTCATTACCAAGCCTTAACTGGAACGGTTCACTACGACTTTACAATCCACTACCAATATCTTCCTTAATTACCGTTCCAGGCTCTGAAGAAGGCTGTAATGGCGAAACGTTAGCTTTAACGAAATAAAGAATAAAGTAATCTCTTGTATGCTCAACTAGAATATCAAGAATTATTTGATCAATACCGAGACTAATAGGAAGTCGGTCGTAGGGTTCACTATCAATATTATTACAACTACTACATTCGAATAGGAACTGGTAGTCACTGTCGAGTATCAGAGCTGCTCGGTGTATTCCATTGGCTCAACGGGCACGGATAGTATCCTACATTTACTATGATGGTCTTCACTCCTATTTTTGATGGAAGCCTTACCAAGATCTCGTCCAGTCGTGGATAATTTGCCAGGGCTTCCTGGATTAGAAAACGCAGGTGTTTTATGACCCAGAGAGTGATTTTGGTTCTAGACCTTCCCCTCCAAATGTTACCCAGTTGGTAGTAAACTTCTTGAATCGTGATAAAATGTAGAAATTTACTCACCTTTGCCAAGAGAAACAAGTTTATTTCCTTTACCACATAAAGGTTGTGGACTTTTGCAGCTTATAAGTCTTTTGTAGTTACCGATGTGGTATGTCGCTTAGTGAGAGGCTTTGTGAGTATACTGGATGAAACAGAAGAATTTCACATACGAAACATCGTCAGATTTCGTGCTGGATCCATTTCTCAGTTTCCTCCTAGTATGATGACCAATAACGACTGAAAAGAAAAGGAAGCCCAAAGAAAGAAAAAAGAAGAAGAAACTGGAGAAATATTTCATTATATCTACTACAATTGTCGTCCATGCCATGCAGTTCAAATTCATCGATTCTCTTAACTTTATGATTCACTAAGATGTTCTTAAACCGTTTACTTACTCATTGTAAGTGTTTCTACATGAACTTGAATCTTTAGTTCGTGAATTTGTTTCTGGAGGTGTTTTCAAGTAGTCATTCTCAATGACAGCAAACGTACAGACATGGTCAAATATCCTTTCTGGCGCTATGATATTTGTTACTTTTTTACCGATTATAGAGAACCCTTTGAGTTTCAGTATGAGTGTTGGCACGGAATCAACACTGCCGAAACCTCATTCTCAACCTGACGTCAGCATACCGCCGTCTGTATTGGTATTGGGTATGGCTGGCTCTGGAAAAACTTCGTTTGTGCAGGTATCACGACATATACTCATATTATTCGGCCTGCTTATACTTTGAAAATGATAAATAATTGCTTTTAATTAATTAGCTGAGGGAAAGGCGAAACGAAGGGCCCGTATGGTGTGGTGAGGAACGCGTTAGCCTCCCTGTAAAGGTGACAGCGTGTTCGATCCTCACCGCATACACCTGCCGTCCGGTGTCTTCCAAATATCTCATCATCATAATTGGTTTCTTCCTAAATAAGACATTTACTTGCGTATAGGTTTTCTCGTTCAGAGACTTACAGCATACTTGCATGCGAGAAAAATGCCACCATATGTGATCAATCTTGACCCAGCAACGGCTAACGTTAGTTCTTGTGTAACTTCATTCATTTGTAGGCCAAGTTGAGAACTTCTAAACCTTTGAGGTTTAGGTTCCATATCCTGTCAATATTGATATACGTGATACTGTCAAGTACAAGCAAGTGATGAAAGAGTATGGTTTGGGGCCAAACGGTGCAATAATTACAAGTCTTAATTTGATGTGCACACGATTCGATCAGGTATGATGTTTTTCTGCTCAGTGGGAGTTTCCTAATGCAAAGAACTTGGGTTCAGGTTCTGTCAATGATTCGAAAACGGGCTAGCCAGTACAGTGTATGCCTGCTCGACACACCCGGTCAAATTGAAGCGTTTACATGGAGCGCTAGTGGCTCAATCATTACTGACTCACTAGCTAGTAGTCATCCAACGGTGGGTTCAGAAGCGCTAGCTGGTGTTTTCATACTTTTTTTTTCCACATTTCGGTAATCTGTTATACTTGAGATTCTTGACAGCATGTTGAGTTATTTCCTGCTGCGGTAAGAGGGGAATTCGTCCCAGTTGCAGTTTTGTAGATGATAATATCTGGAAAATAGATTTTTTCGACGAAAGTTGTGTGATGGAACATCACTGTTAGAAGAACTTTCATTGTAATACAAAGTGTGTCGCAGAAAAGGTTCGAGCTCGTACTTGACAGTCTCTTTTCTCGAGTGGACTAATTCTGTGAGATGTTTTTTGGTCCTTTTGACATATTGAGTGTGTCGTATCCTGGCGAAGAGCAAGATAACATGGTCACTTAACAGAAGCTCATTAATCTAATGGAAACCAACACGAAAGTTAGATTTTTAGAAGATTACATCTTCTGCTCGGATAGAAGCATCAAGCTCTTAGTAGAGTTGTTCCTGGGTGTGGCTGCGTACAGCGGGGGGGTTCATCCCCCCAGCGGAGTCTCCCATGCTGAGAAGGAGTCCGGCGTTTTTATTGGGAAGCCTAGATAAGAGTGAACCAATGCCAGCATCCACCGCCGTACTGGTATCAAAGTCGCATGGTGGAAAATCTCCCTCTGATCCACAAAGGTGGCCTGTGGTGGTGACGACCTGGTGGGGGCTTTGGCTAGGTTGACCTCGGGACTCCAGGGAACTGCAATAGTTAAACCAGCAAAACTCCGAAAAAAATGGTAATTACGCTGGGGCCCGCAAAACCAGTGAAGACGGGCCATCCGCGTTTCCAAGTATTCTCTAATTTAGGACCGCTGAATGGAAAAGATTTCTTTCTCAAATACTAACCAGATGCAGCAGTCAAGTGCCCAAAATGTAGCGAGAATGGTGCCAATTTCGTTGGATTGAAAAGCATGAGCATGTTTCGTATGTTTTAAACCATGCCGTCTTTACATGCTAGGATATGTCGACCTCGGTCGTCAAGACTCTGCTGCTAAAGTGGTCTTGGGTTCTGTAATCTAGGGTCCACAAAATGTCAACGTAGTTTTCGTCGTCCATTTTTCTGTGGAATCTGCAGAAATCAAGGGAATGGTGTGAGATGACCGGTCCATAAACTATAGTTTAAATAGTTCCCAGGATCGACTTTCTCTTAACCTCGGCATTGGAATATAAATATGTCGTTTTCTTGTTCAGCAATCGCGAGGTTTTTAAACAGCATACATTTACTTCCATAAAAACACAATACAATACAACGCTAGCTGACGTTTCGGCAGTATCGCCTTCTTCAGAGCCTGGAAGGGTATACTGATATACAATCTACTAGGCCAAACGCTTCAATAACACTTACAAAAAGACGAAAGACTCTTTGGTAATTACATGATCAACAACTTCTCGAAAAAACCCACCGCTTTTTCATGACTTCCAATGAGGATGTTTAGAACAGCTGATTATAGTCGCATGTGGTTGACGACTGCACCATCCCACATCAAAAATCGATGCGCACATACGGGATCAGGTCACGTATGATCACTGGGCATTCATCACTGCTATTCATTGTAGGGTTTTTGGCATTTATCCAAAAAGTCTCAAGGAGTTTTCGCGCTGGTGTTTTGGACTCCTGTGCTAGGATATTGACTTTTACTTCAAAATCGTCTCCGCTATGCTTTTGTATCCTATGCGTGCCTAGTGGGGTGCTTCGTCTTAGTTTTCGTTTGCCATCTAGGTGTTCTTTTATACGGATACACAAAGGTCTGCCCGTTTCGCCAATATATTCATCTCCGCAATTGTTACACGAGATCAGCTATATCGTACCTGAACTCATGCAATCACCGTCCCTGCCGTAAGGGCAAATTACGCAATTTGTTGTTTCACACAGACGGTCATACAGGCGGTTGCGAACTAATTGGCGACGTAGAGTAGTCGGTNGACTTCCAATGAGGATGTTTAGAACAGCTGATTATAGTCGCATGTGGTTGACGACTGCACCATCCCACATCAAAAATCGATGCGAACGTACGGGATCAGGTCGCGTATGACCACTGGGCATTCATCACTGCTATTCATTGTAGGGTTTTTGGCATTTATCCAAAAAGTCTCAAGGAGTTTTCGCGCTGGTGTTTTGGACTCCTGTGCAAGGATATTGACTTTTACTTCAAAATCGTCTCCGCTATGCTTTTGTATCCTATGCGTGCCTAGTGGGGTGCTTCGTCTTAGTTTTCGTTTGCCATCTAGGTGTTCTTTTATACGGATACACAAAGGTCTGCCCGTTTCGCCAATATATTCATCTCCGCAATTGTTACACGAGATCAGCTATATCGTACCTGAACTCATGCAATCACCGTCCCTGCCGTAAGGGCAAATTACGCAATTTGTTGTTTCACACAGACGGTCATACAGGCGGTTGCGAACTAATTGGCGACGTAGAGTAGTCGGTGGTATTTCAACTATCGCTACCGATTCCTCTAGACCTGCCCTTCTTAAGCATCGTTTTATAGCTGCGCTTACTTCATCGCTTATAAAAGTGAGTGAATGCAAGAGCTCACCTCCTCTTTGTTGCACGCTCTCAGTACAGGCATCTACTTTCCTACCTTTTCACTTTCTGCTTTCCAGTGACTTCTAGTTTTGTGATAAAGTATACTAGATATAAAACAGAGGAGATGTAATTTTAACGGATTAAAGTGACTTTATGGGACAGACTTGAAGGGGGGGACACTTTATGGGACTTGACTGGAGCTTGAATAAGTATCGAGATAAGAAGTCTTATTGAAAATCGTTTCGTTCAGATATAACCACAGACCTACTTTTCTACGTCTGCATTCGCTATACCTAGCCAAGCCTTGACGTTATGGGAGTATTGTGAGCGAAGCGAAGATATGCTAGTTGATAGTCGCCAACTTTCATTTAATCCCGTGTTATCGTATTACAGTTCTCACAGAATGTTTTCCAAAGTAGCGCGAAATAGTTTTATCAGATGCTATCGCCTTATCAGAATTGTCTCTTTGCACCTACGCTAATTGTTGTGGAGTGGTAAAGTTCAGAGTATGGTGTCGTTGTACAGGTCATGATCAATTTTTGTCTCCTAAGAGGGAATTTTGCTTTATTTCTACTAATCTCCGTTTAGTTTCGTAAACGTGTGGATATGATACCCCGTGGAGAATGCAGTACGAAATCTGCCTGATCGCATTGCTGGAAAATTCAGGCGACGTTGCAGTCTTCTTTTGCTGGAGACTTGTGGGTTTAACTGTGGGAGATCGGAGTACATGACGTAGTCGATTTTCTCCATTATCAACCTCGTTGCAGTGACTGTTCTCTCTCGAAACCCCAGATTGGTAGTCTTGGTCGTTTAATTGACGAAACTTTTATGGACTTTGTGTTTGGTTTTACTTCTGTAGCTTCATCCAATATTGCGGATCTCTTTACGTTCGGTCGTAAACTAATGGTTGTCTACCACTCATGTTACTCGTTTTTAGTTTTCCAACTCGTCGTATCTAAAATGGACGTCTCTCAGTAGCTTTTAAATGGCCTAGTTTCGTATTAATGATGCTAGATGAGCAAGTCGTATTCATCGACGATGTTGTCAATAACGGCATTCTTCCGAAAGCTAACGCTAGTAATGCTGTCCATCTTTAATTAAAGTGAAGAAGACTCGCAATTCTTGGAAATCCAGCTTTTAGACGTTTTACTATAAACATTGCGATGATTGTGTTTCTCGTCCCGAAGTTTGGAACGAATTTAGTTTTCGTACAATGTAAACGATTTCGTACCATTTCAGCTTGTCGCTTATGTGGTTGATTCTGCACGTGCGACAAATCCAACGACATTCATGTCAAATATGTTGTACGCTTGTTCGATTCTTTACAGAACTAAGTTGCCTTTCGTTGTCGTCTTCAACAAGGCACGTTTCCGTTTCTCATTTTGGCTTGTGACAGATACATGAGCAGTAAATATCCGGTTTTTCTTCCTTTTTCAGTATTGAACTTGAGGTTACATTTTTTTTTTAATGTGCGTCATAAATCATTTTAGGAGGGCATTAACCAAGAAACCTAGCCCCTCACTTAGTCTTATTGTAGGAAAATGGTAATTGGTGGAACTAACGATGTTTTTAAATGGCAAATTTACTTTCAAAAACTGTGAAATGTTCAAGGATTTGAGGTTTTTGCAGGCCGATATAGTCTCACCAGCTTTCGCACGTAGCTGGATGAATGATTTTGAGCGCTTTGATCAAGCGCTGGAAGAAAGCCGTAGTTCATTTATGAATGATCTGAGTCGGTCACTCTCTCTTACACTCGATGAGTTTTATTCAGGTCTAAAAACAGGTATGGTCATTACGAATCAAGATTTGGTGTGGTTTGGGAGCTAATCAATTTATATCTCTGTAATGCAGTATCGGTTTCATCGTTAACTGGTGAAGGCATGGAGGATTTTATGAAAATGGTAACCGAATGTGTAGAACAGTATAAGACGGAATATGTTCCTATGTACAGTCGTGTACTAGAAGAGAAAATGAAGCTCGATCAGCAAGAAAAGCGCAGAAAATTTGAAGATGTGAGAGGTTTTGGTCAAACCAATCGTTGTTGTGTCTTCTTATTTTGTGATTTTTCAAGCTTCAGCATTCTGTGTGCCATTACAGATTACTGAAGGAGGTCTGGAAGTGTTGAGTTTACATCCATCCCTGGAACATCCTCCTGATAGGGAACAAATCCACATTGGAGGTGTGGAAGAGGAGAATGCTGAAGACGCTAATACTCTTCGCTGATAATCATTTTTCTGCCCAGTAATGTGCTCATTACAGTAAATACTGTCAGCGGACCTTTTCGTTTCTTTGTTGAATTGTTTTCCTTGTTATTTCCATTCCCGTTTATGTGAAAGTTGTAAGGTAAGTTTGTTGATTTTTGCTCTTTGGAAACAGTTGCCTGAATATGCACGTTATAAAGAATGGTCTAGAAATTGTTGTGTTGGATTTACAATGCAACTGGCTTCGGCCGATGTTTTTATATATTTTCATTAGGTTTCCAGATATATTTTCTAGGTGATCTTTAGGTCCTGATATTGATTGGATAGGAGAGTAGATGGAGAATAAGACGTTCCACAAAGTATGTTACCGCGTTCTATAAGAAGTGAAACTGCTTTTATGTGTTCAATTACTGATTCCATTATTTTAGGCTTCCGTTCTATTGAATCGAGCGAGTACAGCGCCTACGATAGTAGAAGCAGTACAGTTCCATGGCATACGAATAACTAAGAATGATGCTTTGGTGAAAGAGGTATGCCATTAAAGCAAGCAGCATTGTTTAGTGACGTAATAAGGGTTGTAATGATACGTTGTAGAAGTGTTATCGTTGCTGAAAATTATTTTATTATGTTGGTTTTGCTTCCAGACTGTTTGTCACTCTTCATGACTGAAGGGTGTTCGTCATGTAAGTGAACACGTAGTTTTTGAGTCCGTCTGCTGGTTGCTGATTTCTTGGTGAAATGAGGATGTGACCCTGCGTCCTTCCTTCCTTCCTATACATAACTTTTCCTTCGTTTTGTTTTCATCGTGTCCATTGAAGTATTTAAGTACACTATGATGTACTATCTGTGAAAGGAGAACCAACCCTACAGTTTTCCTCAATGGATTTTCTTATCGCTTAGAAATACTGTGTAGAGGAGTAATAGTAGAACATTTCGGAAAGGAACGAGGATTTGTGCAATATTGACACGAAAAATAGCAGGGAAATCTTGTGTGATTCCTGCCGTTGTTGTGTTATGGTGTTACAGATGACTTTCTTACCTCGATTATTGCTTACAGCGCGTTAGTCCAGAAAATTATCTACAAATTCCAGTCTGCTCTCCTTGTTAACTACATGCATCTGACAACACGTGGGTTGCACTAATGTGGACATGGGCGGTTCTCAAACTTTTTCTTATTTAGTCCATCATTACGTTATGTTGGCAATCAAAATTGTAGCTTTTGATGCCACTTGAAAGAGAGTTTGGTGTTATGGGGAATTATCATGATCACTTCGGTATACGAGAAGGCGATATTGCTAATTATTCGCACATTTCCATGTCACTTAGTGTTAAGCTGTTGTTATGTGGTTATATCAACCATATTATATTACCATGTGTAATGCCCATTTGTGCTCTGCAGATCAGCCCCGTTGACGGATGATTGCTTATCGCACCTATAGGTTAAAAAACGGCTAAGTGACAGGCGAAGCGGAGGATCCGCATGTGGTGTTGGTGAACACGTTAGCCCCGGAAAGGGTAACAGTATATTCGATCCCCGCTGCAGATACCTGTGGTACGGAGTCTTGAAAATATATCAACATCATTGTAGTTATAACAAACATAGTTGATTAGTTCGCTTTGCAAACTAGTTAAGTCTTGTGAATAATATTCAAAGCGGTCGATAAGCGTGCACTTTTACGATGTGTGTTAAAGTGTCGTGACTGTTCGTCTAGTTTTTCTACTTTAGAGGGGCCACAGGGTTTATAATTAATATACCATTACCTTATTTTGAAGACGACTCCAACAAATAAACCCCACGTCCACTCTGGGAGAGCCTGGCAAGCTACCCGTGAGTATACCCAGCCTCCACGTTCAGAGCGCAGCAAGCTATACGTGGGTATCAAAATGCTAAACACAGTTTTAAAAAAAAACGGACCCCACTCCACTGTCCCCGAAAGAGCCTTCATTTTCGCAGCGTTGAATAGGACGAGTACTGACAGGTTGCTAAAATCACAGGGCCAATGAAAGCTGTCTAGATTGCAAAGAACTAAGGTGAAGATCTGCACCTACAATGCACGTACACTTGCATCCGAATCCTCGATAGAAGACTTGTTCATACAAGCAAGAAGGATAAGGTACGACGTCATCGGCCTGGTCGAGACGAGAAGACACCAGCCTTTCAACGCCGTTTATGACACCGGAGAAGAACTGTTCCTCTGAACATGCGACAGTAGAGGAGTCGGTGGCGTCGGAGTGCTCGGGAGCACGAGTTTGTCCATGAACACCGATTCATTCGAACAGCTTACAACCAGAACCGAACGTTTACGATTAAGAAGATGTCGATCAATACCGGTTTTGACAATCTTCGTTGTTAACGCACCGACATCAAACTATGACGAAGAAGAAGTCGAAGTGTTCTATGTCAACTTGGAGAAGTTCTACAGAGAAGACCATACAGTCTTCAAGGTCATCGTTGGAGATTTCAACGCCAAGATTGGACTAAGAAGAACGTCACATTGGACCCATGGATTAGAATGGAACGAGCAGGGTGATCGGCTGTCTGAGTTTCTCATGGCGACCAAGACCATCCGTGGTAACTCGTTATTCCAGAAGCCCCGCCCTCAACGCTGGACGTGGGAGTCTTCCAATGAAGAGTATCATAACAAAATAGACCACATCATAGTAAATAGAAGGTTTTGTCTGACCGATGTCGCTATTATCCAAAATTCTCCACGGGATTAGACCGTCGCCTCCTTCGTGCAAGATTCTATTTCTCGCGAAAAGGACAAAAAGCCGCTAAATTCAAGAACCGAAGTCCCAGAATCACCACAAACTGGGACTTATTCAATTCATTAGTCGGCTGTTGGGAAGATTACAAAACAATGCAGGTAGGCGATGAAACAGGATTTCAAAAGAGAGGAGCAGCAGTAATGATCGAAGCTGCAGAGGCTGGGAAAAGCATTCGCAAAGTCTACCGATGCTTCGTCAATCACAAGACCGAGATGATTGCGCTGCGACGCTCAGACGGAACAATTACAGCGTCCAGAAAGGAAATGGAAAAAATCATTCACAAATGCTACTGAGATTTCTTCGATAGCGTCGTTCACCTTACGTCATATGAAATAAAGGAGGATGGAGATGTTGTACCACCGGTTATCCCTTCCGAAATCCGACATGCCATTTCGTCGGCGAAAAATCGAACAGCACCGGGTCCGGACAGAATAATATTAGAACACCCGAAGAACCTTCCGCCGGTCCTCGTAAACACATTGGCTCGGCTCTTTACAAATTACCTGTCTGAATGCAAGGTTCCTACTCAGTGGAAGACCAGCAAAATCGTGTTATTGTTCATGAAGGGTGACCTACGCGATATCGGCAACATTCGCCCAATCTGCTTGCTGTCTGTCGTCTACAAACTTTCACTCGAGTTATCTTAAACAGTATTAACTGAACACTTGGACAGCGATATGAGCAAGCAGGGTTTCGAAAAAGATTTAGTACGATTGACCATATCCACACGATACCAAGTCACTCAGCGTTATCGAACATGCATTCAAACGGACGATGCTAGGAGTATCCCGTTTCACGCAAGTAAGGGATGGGATCCGAAGCTCCGACCCGGTTCAGCGATCAAAAGTCAATGATGCCATTCTGTACGACAAACAGTCGAAGATAAGGTGGGCCAGACACGTAATGCGTATGAATGGCAACCGATGGACAAGAGCCGTCAGTGACTGGATTCCTCGGGATGTCAAACGTACTGCAGGAAGACCACCGAGGAGATGGTCAGAGTTCTTCACAAAGAGTCTAGAAGAAAGATATGATGCTCGACGAGGTCCTAGAGCGAGCAGAACCCACTGTGCTATTATTGCACGCGACAGGAAAAAGTGGAAAATTTAGTCTCGTTAGTTCGAATTACTCGGCGATCAACGAGGCTACAGGTGATATAGGTGATACCTTATTTTAACTCTGCAGTTGTAATACTTGTAGTCCTGCAAATCAATGTGCTTGAAATGAGCGTTAACAACAACTCCTTATTCGTTCCAGGCCCGCATTCAACCTTTCTAATATGTTCCATTTGCTCGCGAGATATTATGACTATGGCACTTATTTATGATATTATTTATTCTTACCGTATTTGACTTCAGTTAGTTGGTGCTTCCCTAGCTGGTATCCACCGAAGTGTAGGTTTTTCTTAGCTGTAATTGCTGCTAGGGTAGTCGAATCGCTTATCAGCTCACGAAACTTTGATTGTTTGCTTAAGCCTTTGCGAAAGATCACAACTAGGGTTTAGGTTGCTGAATTGTATCGAAGTTCCACACTTGATGAGCTTGTCCACAATTCTCATCTTGCTGCTAAGCATTTACAGGTAAGTATTGATTTCACTGATTCGTTACAAAGTTGGCGAAATTTCTCAATCAATCGCTGATGCAGGAAGTGGGATTGATGGAGAGTGTTGTGCCACTTATTGATACTGCACCTTCCACTAATGGCTACATTGTGAATTTTGTAGTTAAGGAGCCAAAGGTAAACTTGTCAAAGTTGTAGTTATTTGAATCTCGTTTAGTTGACATATACATGACCAGGTAAAGGTTAAAGAGATAAGGGATCGCCGCCGAATAGTACCCTATCCGCATTATATGGAGAGACGGGAGTATGCCCTTCACAGTCAACATTCTATTGATAGAACGAGAACATTATATTATAAAAATTTTTGTGAGTTGAAAATAAATAAAGGTAAAGATTAAGCTCTCGGCGTTGATCAATCCCTCAGGGATGCACCATGCATTCGACTTCATTAAGCATCGTTAGAGGTGATTGAATGCATACCTAGCCTTTATAATGAATCGCGGTGGCCTACTGTTGTATCGAACCAGTGCTGCTATCCTCCCTGACAAGTCTGGTATCAATTTTCCGACCCGGAGGGTTGGTAGGCTTGGTGGGCCATGGGCGCGGCGGTCGATTCCACGTGTGTGTCGCAGTGGCGGCTCCAACCACTGCGCCACACGCGCCTCTGTGAGTTGAAAATAGTTTTAGAAATTAGCTTTTTAGAACCAACTCTATGCGGTCAAATAAACGACTAATAAGATACGATGGCGAATATATTGAAATCCTTGTGTCATATCGTTTTAAACAGCTATACAGTTGTCTTTTAACAACGGAGTTAAGTAGAGGGCCAATTGCGGCGGTATTTTCAAAGTTTAGGCCTTCAGTTTGGGAGTGAAAGCTGGTATCAGCACTAATGGTGATGCTGACATGTCGTTGAATGGTGGGAGACATAGCCTGTTCGGCCGCGGTGAGGCCGTCAATTCCAATTACACATACACAGTTAAGGTAAACAGAACTCTTTTCAGATATTTTTTCTCACAGGGTTTGTGTCGTCACGACTACTTTCCAGTTAGCCAAGAAACAACGCACTTAATAGTTTTTTTCTAATTTTTTAAAATGATCCATCCCTTCGAGATTGCTAATGAAAATGTTTAAGGTACACATTGAAAGAAAAAACTCTTTTAAGTATTCGGTTACAAAAACATCTTTTTTGCACGCCGCGTCTTTCACATATACTGTGCGGATCCTATCGCTTCTTGTATTTGATTTGTTTCCTCGCATCCATCATTCACGAAAGTCTTCTGACTTTTTTGTATGTGGGTTCGCCTACTACTCAACGGTGTTCCTTACGTAATTAACGTCGTTGAATGCTGATCGAGTCAATTCTCCCTTGGTTCCCCAGATAGCCCGACTAGAGGTTTCCATTTGCATTGCAGGGAGTCCAGTTTTCCGACCCCGAAGGAATGACAGGCTAGTTGAGTGTGGGCCGGGAAAGGAAGCATCACGTTACAAAAAATTGGAAGTGAATTTTATGGGGAGCTTTATGTTATAACATGGTTGTGTAGCTATATTTGCGTTTTTGTCTGAATATCTCTTTTGTCGTGTTCTTGTACACCTTACTTTGACCATTATTGTCAGCTAATGGTTCAATATATTTCTGTAGTTTTTTTTAGGGTGACCACAGTTTCAATTTATCTTTTACAAAGCCGCGTCTGGGTTGGCAGAAGTACTCGAACATTTCAGCAAGTTTATTCAGGTACCTGTTCTTCTTGTACACTTGCGTAATAATTTTTTGTTTAATATTTTTGTTTTTCAGCTCCACTCGATTTTTGTTTTTAGAGCAATTTCCTATTTACCATGGAATCACTCAAATTGTGAAGAAAACGCTGTTGTTCTTGGTTACAATGGGCAAATTATGAAAAATATTCTACATCAGATTAAGTTTAATGCGGTTCGTCTAGACTTTTTTTCTTTATTTCATTCATCTAAGCCAGTTGAAACTAAGAGTCTGATGCCTTACGTACCTTGATGCTTTGCTTAATTTTTCATCAAACCAACTAGGAATTGAAGAGTGTTCTGTCAGCCGATCTGCGTCACGTATGAATGCAATATAACTCACGTTTTACTCTATGTTCTAGAACCTTTTTTGCAATGTGTATTGTATCAAACTTGTTAGTTTCTCTTTCTTCAGTTATGGAGAACCTTAAGAGCGACAGATGATGCAGCGTTTTCGGTCCGTGAACACGCAGGCCACATAATGAAGTTTTCCGTAGAAAATGCGGTTGGGTTTGATAATCGTGATCGGCCCATTCTTGCAACGAGAGGGATTCTTGGTGTGTCGTCTTTTCCTTAAGAAAATTTCCATCATTTTCAACTCTAGCTACTGGATTGTTAGTAGTACTCCAACATATTGCTCTGAATTGGTAGTTTAACCTTATTTAATACATTCATTACGGTGCTCTTTTTTAAAGAAATGCCTGTATGGCTAGAGATGACTAGAATATTTGTGATCCTGAGCACCTGTAAGTTACAGAAGGAACTTTGTCCTAACGATATATATATATATATATATATATATATATATATATATATATATGTACATATACATGTCTGTGGTGGGGAATGAACGCGCTGCTACTCTTTCCAGGGGCTACGCATTCACCATCACACCATTCGGGTTCTTCGTTTCGCCTTTCTCACAGCTAGTTTTCTGTCTATCAGTGCCATCAGCAATCACCCGTAAACGGGATTGATCTGGGAGCCGGAGTTTTGCAGAGATCTCAGCATCGTAAAAGTTATATTTTGCAACATACCCTGCTATTAAAAAGAATAGGCAGTAAACAAAAAGGTTAACATTGTGATTTCGACTACAGCCTCAGCTTAATTGGGTTCATTGCCGATTTGGCTCCACAGATCAATCCTGCTGGCGGGCGATTGCTGATGCCACTGGTAGATAGAAAATGAGCTGAGAGAAAGGCAAAGCGAAGGCCCGCACGGTGTGGTGGTGAACTCGGTACGCCCCTAAAAGGGTGATAGCGCGTTCGTACCCCACCGCTAACACCTGCGGTCCAAAATTTTGCATATATTTTCACATAATTATGATTGTATCACATATTCAATCGCGCAATCGCTTCCCTGAGGTACTCGGCCAGTCGAAACAAAACGAAGAAAGATTGCGCAATCCGATTAGTTGTAACACATGAATTGTCTGGTTTTTAATGTAAACTTTAAATTATCCGTAACTTTTGCCGTACTAATTTATTTTAACTCCCAAGTCCTACTTTCTACTAACCTCGGCATTGATTGAATAATTCTTTCCACTTCTGTTCAGAAAACACGAGGTGTTACTTAATTTTTCTATTTACGTACAAGCTGACGTTTCGGCGGATCTCGCCTTTTTCAGAGCCTGAAAAGGTCAAGTTGACTACAATCTACAATCAGCCAAACAGCTCCATAACCAAACAGAGAAAATGCTGAACCAAAATTTCAATCACCTTGAACACAGAGTCTTTGCACACTCACCGCTTTCTATGAGTTTTCCACTGAGTACGACGCGTGGAGACTAACTGCACAGAGTTCAAACGGAATCGTATTGTGCCCATCTCATCAAAATAACAGACCTATATACTGCCCAATATCACGCGTGATAATGAGGCATTCTTCCCTGCGGTTTATTTTCGGATTTCTGGAATTAATCCAGAACACCTCGAGTTTTGCGCGCTTATGTTTTCGATTCCTGTGCGAGGATCGTAACACATACTTCAAAGTCCTCTCCGTTATGTCTCTGGGTCCTATGCGTGCCCAGTGGGGTATTTGGTTTATGTTTGCCGGCTAGGTGTTTTTTATGCGGGCACAGAGGGGTCTGCCCGTTTCACCAATGTATTCGTCTCCGCACGCCTTACAGGAGGTCAGGTAAACTATACCCGACCTCATGCAGTCACCGTCTCTACCATCGGGGCAAATTATGCAATTTTGTGTTACCCATAGACGGTCGTATAGGCGGTTACGAACTAGCTGGCGTCTTAGATTACTCGGTTGTATTTCGATTATCGTTACCAAATTCTCTAGATTGGTCCTTCTTAAACAGCGTTTTATAACTGCACTTACTTCATTTGAAATGAAGGGCGGGATAAAAGGGACCTTGTTGTCGCTAGAGTTATCGTTTTCGTAGCCATTAAAAATGGCTATTTGCCGCGCCAAGTTCCAGGATTCTTCTCTCTGCTGTCTTCCTGTGCACACCCTGGTAGCTGTTCGAAACATGCTTCTTACAAGCGCTCTTTTCGTGTGAGAGGGGTGAGAAGAGAGGTAATGCACCAAGATGTTCTTACTATTTGGCTTTCGGTACCACTTTGTAATGTAGCCATTTTCTGACAGGTGAATTTGGACGTTTAGGAATGGAAGCCATTTTTCTTTCGGGTGAATTTATTGTACTCTAACTGTTCGTTCAACAACTCGAAACATCTGTCCATTTCTTTTTGTGTTGAACAATTTATTTTAGTCGAAATAAGAACCATTAAAACTAGCACCTCTTTTTCCAACAAGAAACCAACTTATATATTCCAGTTGCATAATATTCTGGAGTTCTGGAAGCGATGAATTCGTTGAAGCACTTTTTACGTCATAGTGGTTCGTGAAGCATTTCTTGCCCAGGAAATTGTCAAGGTGCTTGAAAAAGTTGAAGTCGTGGGGCGAGAGGTGTGATGAATATGGCGGGTGTGGCAAAGTTCCGTAGCCCTACTCGTTCAACTTCTGCAGCGGTGGTTTCGCAACGTGAGGCTGGGCGTTGTCGTGAAGGACTGTTCCTTTTCTGTTGACTAATGCTAGTGGTTGTTGTTGAACTTTACGGTACATTTCATCGATTTGTGGGCAGAGGCGCCATGCATTACACATGGAATCGATCTCCGCGCCACAGGATCACCAAGTTTTCCATCCCGAGGTCGGCAGATTGCTACCAGACTTGTCTGGGAGTATAGCAGCACTGGCTCGATACATCAGTGGGCCACCGCGAGTCATCCTAAAGGTCAAATATGCATCCCATCGAATGCATTGGTTTGATCAACATCGAAAGCTTTACCCTTTTTTATTTAATGCTTTTTATTTGAATTATTAAAGTCTAAGCTGAGTTACGTTTGTTTGACGTTGGAAGGTGAAATTACTTTCGTCCATGTGAGGGCTATGAATGATTCATATAGTCATGAATATGTGCAGATGTGTGATAGATATCAACAGTTTATTTTTTAAATTCTATATGGGAGATCTCTGAAACTTGGGAGATCCATCGTTTTGCGTAATAATGATAGAGGTAGTGCGAAGAAACGTTATCGCAGGCTTTTATATTTAAATTTTCAGCGCGATTAGCACAGGAATATGCTGGTCCGTTCGGTGACTCGTCGTTTATAAAGCATCAGCTGGATTTGCAGGTGTTTTTCCAACGTATTATTTTACAAACAACATTTCAATGATCGGGAGCTCTTAGTAGTAAGGGATTCTAATTAAAATGGTGGTTCCCAGGATCGACTTTCTATTAACCTCGGTGTTGGAATATGAATGCGTCACTTTCTTGTCCAGCAATCGCGAGGTTTTTAAACAGCGTACATTTAATTCCATAGAAAAACACAATACAATACAACACTAGCTGACGTCTCGGCAGTATCGCCTTCTTCAGAACCTAGAAGGGTACACTTATATACAATTTACTAGGCCAAACGTTTGAATAACACTTACAAATGGACGAAAAACTCTATGGTAATTACATGATCAACAGCTTCTCGAAAAACTCACCGCTTTTTTTACGTGTCTTCCAATAAGGAAGTTTAGAACAGCCGATTATAGTCGCATATGGTTAATGACTGCACCATCCCACATCAGAAATTGATGCGAACATACGGGGTCAGGTTGCGTATGACCTCTGGGCATTCCTCTCTGCTACTCATTGTAGGGTTTTTGGCATTTATCCAAAAAAAGAGGTCATATGCGACTTGACCCCGTATGTTCGCATCAATTTCTGATGTGGGATGGTACGGTCATCAACCAACGCGATTATAATCAGCTGTTCTAAACTTTCTCATTGGAAGTCTCGTAAAAAGCGGTGAATTTTTCGAGAAGCTGTTGATCATGTAATTACCATAGAGTTTTTCGTCTTTTTATAAGTGTTATTGAAGCGTTTGGCCTAGTAGATTGTATATCAGTATACCCTTCCAGGCTCTGAAGAGAGCCATACTGCCGAAACGTCAGCTACTGTTGTGTTGTACTGTTTTTCTATGGAAGTAAATGTATGCTGCATAACAACCTCGTGATTGCTGAACAAGAAAACGACGCATTCGTAAAATGGTGGTATCCATATTTTTATGTTGACGCTTTTTATGAACCGTTCATTGTGAGTTAAATTTATTTTCTAAGGCTGCTGCACCACTTCCTCTTGGCTTCATACTGTCAGGTTCAGCCCAGTTCAAAAATGTTAGAGGAGATCGCGAAATACACCTACTTGATAGAGTGTACTTAGGTGGCCAGCAGGATGTGCGCGGATTCGGTTTGAATACTCTCGGTGTACGTATATTTGTTGCACAAAATCTAGTGTTTTATGTGGTTCTTTCTGGAGTTCAGGTTCGTTCCGAAAACTCCTGCTTGGGTGGCGGTACTGCTGTGTGTGGTGTTCTTCATATCTACCGCCCTCTATTTCCTCCTCAAGTTTGTACAACGTTCATAATACCAGAATGCTAGGGCAATCATCTAAGTACTTTCTGGGTTAGTATTAAAGTTCAGATTTCTTAGATGTTGTTTGCGCACATGTTCGTATCGACGGGTAGCGTGGCACCGGTGAGGTCTCGGAATGTCATGAAAGATTTGCAAGATGCCCAGAGAGTGTCCCTTGGACTTGGTAGGTGATTTTAGGCTCCTTTCATTTCTTCGAGTAATTGTTATTTCTTTTACTGTTTCACCTATATGTAGTTTTTTGTAATCTGTGATAGCGCTGCAGTGATTTTCTCTCAATTTTTGCTCGTTTTCTCATTTTCGAATGGACAATATTCATGTTATTATGGAAAAAAGAAGGCTGCTCACATGGAAATATTATGTGATCTTTACATCTAAAGTAGCACGTAATAATTTTAAATCTTTTAGAACTAACTCAATAATGCTGAGATATTTGCAAAACTCCGGACCGCAGGTGTATGCGGTGGGGAACGAACGCGCTATTGTCCTTTCCGGGGAGCAACGCCTTCACCACTACACCATGCGGGTCCTTCGTTTTGCCTGTCTAAATACTAACTCGTTATATCTTTCTACTTCTGTTCAGCAAACACGAGGTGCTATTTTATTTCTTTATTTACGCACAAGCTGACGTTTCGGCGGATTTCGCCTTCCTCAGAGCCAACTGTCAGCTGCTGTCAACTTGACCCTTCCAGGCTCTGAGGAAAGCGAAATCCGCCGAAACGTCAGCTTGTGCGTAAATAAAGAAATAAAATAGCACCTCGTGTTTGCTGAACAGAAATAGAAAGATATATTCAATCAATGCCGAGGTTAATAGAAAGTCGGACTTGGGAGTTACTAACTCGTTATTTAGTTGTCACCTGTGCCAGATACTTCATTGATCACAATGTGATTTAAATGGGCGCTAGGAGCATTATTATGTCCCACTGGGGATCGATCCCGTACCTATTGCAAGGCCTCTCCTACCACTGCGCTGCACGCGCCTGTTAGGTAATTTGTGAACATTCTAGTTAGTATGGTGGCGCGTTAAATTATTTGGATATATGAGTCTTATCTTTGTGTGTATTTGTCTCCAAGGGTTACGAATGGAGTTTGTTTTTCTATTTTATTTTATTTTATGTGAGCCTTCATCACGTCTAGAGTGGCGATCCCAGCACTCCTCACATTCGATTTGTTTTCTCACATGCATTATCCACGAAGATCTTCCAACTTTTACGTGTAGTTTCTACTGCTGCTGGAAGATTGTCATTTCATCTTGAATGTCGTAGAATGCTGGTCGAGTCTATTTTCTCGGGATTTCTGAGATTGCAGGCTGGAGAATTGGATTAGGGAGAGTGATGTTTCCCGGACAAGTCCGGTACCAATTTCCCAACCTCGGACGGACGAAAGGTTTGGTAAACTTTGGGTGGGATCGAAGCGGCACCGATCTCGTGATGATTTGCATCACAACTCGTGTCGATGTCCACAATTGTTTATCAACTTTGTGTAGATTATCAGTGAAAGAGTACACGATTAGTCATACCAATGTTAAAGCAGAGTCGGTTTTGAAATATTGTAATGCTATATGCTAGCTGGTAATTATACCGACTTCTCCAAGATGGATTGTCCTGAAAAATTAAGTTTCTATCACGGGACAATCACTTTTATTACCGTCCTGTGTAAAAAAGCGTTGCCGGATGAGATTGCTTTATTCGGTTGATGCTGTGCTGAGGAAAATCCGACACTACGAAGACGACACCACATAGAAAGTGCGAAAAATTGTGAACATCGACTCGTATCGTAGGCTCTGAGGAAGACGAACACGTTGAAACGTCGGCCGAATAAATATCTGGTAACAACCTGTGCTAGTTTATCAGTGGAACAAGGTACATATTATTGGTCATACTATGGTTAGAGGAAAGTCGGTTTTGAAATACTGTTATGCTTAATAGATGTATATTTGTACATTTGTACAAATTTCCTATTTACCGGTTTCGACACGTTACCTTACAATGTAACTTATTGGAGACTACTCTCTGAAGAAGATCAATGACGTTAAACTATAATATGTGTTCTAATATTACATGTTACTCTTTTGCATCTTAGTCGAACTTTCCAGGCGTTACTTTCGTCTTTCGAAACATATTCCGCCTTGAGCTAAACTACGTAGCTCCGATAAAGTATTGTCCTGGCGACAGTCAATCTACAGGCGTACATATCGGTTGTGGAGTGAACTTTTTGTAAATATTAGGAATGAAATAACTCAGTATGAGGCATCACAGGAGGAAGTAGACTAGGTGCAGCTGAATATTCAACCTTTTTCTTCTACTGCTGTAGAGTTGCACTATTAATATCTTTCGTCGTTTAAGATATGTTTAATTTTTTTTGTCTTGATTCAACCATTTTTTTTGCTTGTTTATTCATGTGAAACAACCCTGATTTAGCACATCTTTTTATGTGCAAGTCGCAAGTACTATTTTCTTCTAGTAGTAATTATTGTTTTATGTTGATATTTCAGTACGTTTCTAGTTTTCTTTGAGTTCAGTTTTTGTTTATGCTTTAGGTTAATAGGTTAAGCAGTTTTATTCCTTACGTGTAAGCTTCAGAATATTGGAAAACCCTAGGTGAGTCAAGACTGTGTCGGTTTTCTCCGTGACTGCCGTGTAATACAGAATTATTATTAATATTTCTCAGAAATGACTATCATATTGCCTTTTTGCATAAAGAGATTTTCAATTTCTTCGTCTGTCGTTAGTTCATGTCCAGTCATATAACATATCGTTATTGCATACCAAGATTTAACATTATTATGAATGGATGGTTATCCTTGTATAAGTCGTTTTCCTCAGTTTAATTGATAAATAACGTAGGACTTTCTAGATGGTGTTTTTCTTATAGTGTTATTGAAATTGTGAGGAAAAAAAAGATGTAACCACTAAGTTAATAAGTTTCGAGCAGCATCCCAATCACGATATTTTCAAAATCCACGAATTAATTCCTGTAAGTAATAAGCGACACATACTTTTCACAAGAATTTTTCCATTGCTATTCTTGCGATTGACTAAACGTAAGCGTAGTCAACCCGGGGTTACGTACGCCCATGCATACTCAATGAAGTATAGTTGACGTTTTCAAACCATTAAAACCTGAATCGAGTTGCAATGTTTTGTTCATTTCTCATTGGCGAGCGCGGTGTAAAGACATGTCTAGCGTTGACTGCTCCAAGTTTAAGGACGCGAAAATCACTTTGTAGTGTATGTGCGCGGTAACCTATAAGTAGGGTTATATTCATGAGTACGTTCTAGAGCAGTTAAGTGCTTATCACGCATAAGTTTATCTCAGTTATATGGCGATGTTCTTGTTAACTAGGACTGTTTATCATATCTATAGGCTTATTTAGTAATGTCGCGCATCATAACTTTCGTAACCGGAAACGCTGGCAAATTGGCCGAAGTGAAAGCGATACTGTCTTCGTTTGAGGTTGGTGTTGTGTTTTATAGCTTCTCTTGTTTAGATGCCGTTATCGGGACTTCCATCGGTGCAGCTGAATTTTCCGAAGCGCTGTACACCAGAGAATATTTCACTCTTCTCCGGTTTCATGGCGACAATCCCACATCTCATGGTACATCGCGCTAAAGAACGATATAATATGGACGTAGACGTTCGATATGTGGATAGATTACAAGTCAGCGGGAAAACAACGAAAGGACAACAATTAACTCATGCAATTTTGGCTGGCGGCAGACGAATTGCGGAAGTTACCGAAGCAGATGGAAGTAATTCTGATCAATCACTGCCATTCTACCAATCATTAACTCACCTTGCAAGCCCAGTGTTAAGCTCTGTGAAGAAGAATAATTATTACGAAAAAAGAGTAAAGTTTGATGTGGATTCGAACCGTGGAGTGCGTTCACGAAAATCAGCCCAGTTACGCACACAGCGGAGAATACGGTACGCCAATGCAATATCCGCATGGGATCGTGCGAAACGCCTTGAAGCAGAAAGGATATCGGATTATCGTCTATTCGAGGGAAGCATCTCTGCTATAATTAATGCTACGCCTTCAGTACCACAATCACCGAATTCACCAACCCCACCCAAATGGTCCAGTCGCAATGCTAACTTAGTGGTACCACATAAACAAACGACAATAAAGCCGGTGTGTTGTTCTCCCAAAGTGGAGCAGCCCTTATCGTTTGACAAATGGGCATCTTTTGACTTTCATGATGCAGATATTCTCGATTCGAATTCATTTCCATGGCTAACGGAACATTCAGATCAGGAAGACTCTGTTTCTCGAAATAGTTCTTTTACTACTAGCAGATTCTGCACTGATGACAATGACACCTCCAAAGTAAATCAGTTGTTAAGAGACTGGTATTCTTGATGGGTTTTCTGCTATATAAATAAGGTCGTATTTTAGATGTGGACGTTTCACATTAATTTCTCTGTCTTTCTTTTCTTTCTTTCTTTCTTTCTCTCTCTCTCTCTCTCTGTCTCGCTTCTCTTCACTGTTTTCATCCTCATTCTCGTTTGTTTTTTGACGTGATCTCCATTTCATGTATTTTGCCACACACTGTAAATCTACTTCGATGCAACGTTTAAGATACCTTGTAAATTTTGCTGTGAATTCTCCAGATGATATCCGAAAAGTTTGTCTTTTGTTGTTGACGGCGTTGAAATTGGTCATAAGGTTTGATCTTGATCTGACGTCTTGTAAAAACATTTTGTGCACAGTTTTCATTTTTGAATCAAATTGGTTTTGGTACCAGTGCTATCGAAAATCTTTGAATTTTTCAATGCGAGATATGGAATGTCTTGGTTGGGTCTTCAAGAGCCTTCTTGCTTATCCACTGCTTTGAGCACCTCATGTATATCCTTGTCGGTCGATGGTATGAACTATCGGGAACCTTCCTTACCGCAATCCCTGTAAATGACTCCAAGCTCTTTTTTTATTTATGGGTTTCATGGAGAATTGGATGATATGTAGGTACTAAACATTGCAATGTTAGAAGGTTAGAGTTATGTAAGTGTTGAAATATTTCGACACTTTATGCGAAATGGCTTAAGAACTAGAAGATAACCACAAGTATGCTGAGATATCGATAGGACTTGCAACCTCAGCTGCGGCTCGGACCGCGGTTACCCTTTCCGGGGACTCAGACCCAGTTTTTTTTTTGCCCTAACGGTGCTATCAGGCATCATCTTTCAGCGGGAGTGATCGAGGAAGCACAAGTCGGCATTGAAGCCGGTTAAGCTGGAGCTGTATGGCGGGGGAATACCGTGATTTCATCGCATTTACTCCCAATCTTTTTTAAGGTACACAGTGTCGATGTCGATGTAGATGAGTATCAAGGTGACCCTGAGTACGTCGCTGAGCGAAAAGCGAAAGAAGCGGCAGAGCACATCGATGGGCCGGTTTTGGTTTGTTCATTTTATCACTTATCACTTCCGAGTCCTTTGTTTTGGAGCGAATGTCTGTTTGATTGAAGATAACAATATCCCTAATTCTGTGTTTTTCGGACGGCTTTTTATTTGAGGCAGTAGTAAAGATTTGACGTGAGAGTAAAAGACGTGCACAATCAAAAGCCGTATTCTAAAACTATTGCTTTTACTAGTGTATACTTTAAATCCCCTAATGGACAAAAACGTTTAGGTTTGTGCAAGAGTGACCTTTGAACTGAAAGAAATCGTTAGCGCTCTTTAACACTAACACCTATATCCTCCCTTGTTGGACGTCAAATAGTTTCACCAGCTGGCAGTATATCCTGCGCTTGTCATGAGGGTGCGAAAGTTGTCACCTCGTCTTACTCGGTCGCTGTTATTTCATCCTCGACATAGGTCGGTTCAGTGAGTTAGTCTCACTTCTGCAATGGAATTTACTGATGTTAGCATCATCTTCTTTGCAACGTTTATTGTAACATTATGCTATTCTTTTAATGATATCATTGTATCGTAACACTGTACCATTAATACCACTGGCCGTCTCGTCCTACCTAAATAGAGTTGTGGTGCGTGTAGCACAGTGGTTAGAGGTGCCTTGTCATACACAAGTTATTGCTGAGATTTTGCGGCCCAGGCTCACCAAGCCTCCCATTCCTCTGGGGTCGGCATTTCAGTGCCAGACTTGTCTGGGAGTGTAGCAGTGTTGACTTCATGGTAGGCCACAATAGTTCGATGCATAGAATAGATATCCATTTATTCCTGTCTTACAATGCTTGATGAGGTCGAATGCATAGTGCAGTCCCTCAGAGATTGATTAACTTCAGAAGATTTATCGTCTTATTTGTTTTACTTACATAGCATGCCGCTCTCTAAGACATATGCTAAGAGATTCTAGAAATGGGAAGACATGTGATATACCTTGTTTTCTGTGTTTTCTTCACCACAGCCTCGATTCTGTTATAACCTTTCTGATCCACATCGTACTAGTGTGAGGCGTGGGAACTTTGTCGCCTCATCAATTTCATTTTGTTTGAGTTCAGCTGGAAATTAGCTTTTCTTCACTCGTTGTTGAAATGCAACGAGATGGTTGCCCTCTACGTCTTAATTATGCAGTAAGTTGCTCTTCTTACCCTTATTTCCACTAGCTGTGAATATGGCATCAGTGAAAATTCGAATGTCAATGACATGAGCATCATTTTCTCTAATTTCAGCTGGGATGTGAAACCGCTAACACATGATGTTATTAAGATGACGTCATCAATGAAGCGGATGTAGTCTATCTGGTAGCTGTGTGCTTTCACGTTGATAAAATCTCATTCTAATATTCTAAAATTTCATCTTCTTTATGGTTGTCATTGAATACTGGTCTAGTCGATTCTTTCTGAAGTCCAGGGAGTCCTGAGGTAGCCAAGCTAGGGCTTTCCCACGTGAATTGGTGATGATGAAGGAGTTCAACAACTGCCGTTGCTTCCCGGTCGGCGGCATCACTAATAACTGCTCTCCCACCCCTTTGTGCTCCTTACTTCTATTATGTCGTTGTAAATTTTCTGAAGTCTAGGTCGCTGTTGATCTGGAGCTGTTGTATGGCAGAGTATCTCTGTATGCCAAGTAAGAATCCTCTCCCAATACGCCCTATTTCGGCAAAGTTTGCTTTTCTCACTTGGTTGGCACTCTTATTGTTTCTCTTCTCATCGTTTTCTTTGTATCATATTGCGAACTCAGATTTGCGGTGGTATTTCCCGGCGCCTTGTACCCATCTCCGCTTGAACAGGAGCTTGGGAGTTTCGGATTACAATCATCTCTTGATGTGGCTGGCGTTTCGTCTGTTTTGCCTTATTCGGAGCCTAGAAATATTACGTAAGCTCTAAAAAAGATGAGATGGCTGGGACGCTGTCTGACTCTAAGAACACATGGCAACAATTTCGAGAACTCAACAACGAGAGTTCGGGAGATTTAGATAAATTATTAGTACCGAGGTTTATTGAAAGTCGGCCTTTCGAATCACCACTTATCCTGATATGATTGAACCGTTTAGCTTTCTTCACTGCGTCATGAGGTTATTGGATGAGCTGATAGTATTTTTTATTGATATTGTTGACAACGTTCTATTCCTAGAGGTTTAACGAAAAGAAAATTTCAAATTTATTTCATTGGAACTGCGTTTCTTGAAGTTTACGGTAGACCCTACGGCATAAGCAAGATTACTTAAATTGTGAGTTGCCATGAAAGGTGTTTAACATCGTGATAAACTCCGGCTGCTTCTCACCCTCTTTCAAACAAGTTTGTCGGTCCAATTTTTGATATTTTTGAAAGTTCTTCTGGAACACGTCATGGCTTTGAAGTTCCTAATGAAAATCTTTTCCGTTGGTGTCGCCTTCGTTGTAGTGCGATCTTTGGGTCTTGACAAAAAGTTTTAGAGGATGTTTCCGTGTATGCGGTGTAGTTCAGTCGATTTCACAGATGATGTGCATCGTACTTGATAACTGAGGTTCACAGTTTAAGGGAAAGCGTTTATCCTCCAATATTCCATATCAGGTAGAGTAGAAATTTAACCTCTCAGAAGTCTCAATTCAGAGCACGTGCTGCTTTTTTTTTATTAAAACACTATTGTTTCACTGTATTTCAGGTAGAAGACACAAGTTTATGCTTTAATGCACTTGGCGGTTTACCTGGTGTGTACATAAAGTGGTTTTTAAAAAAACTGGGACCACCTGGTTTATATCAAATGCTAGGTAGTTATATCCTTTTCTTTTCCGTGTTTTGGGTATGGCACAGATAAATTTGGTAGTATTTTTTGTCTCTGTTTATTTTTAGCTGGATTTGATGACAAGTCCGCGTATGCACAGTGCATTTTTGCATTCACTGAAGGTAAAGGACAGCCGGTGCATATTTTTAAAGGTGATTTTTTTGTCTCGTAGAGATATTTTTCAAATTTACTTTTCACTTTGCATTTTTCAGAAAAAAAAACTGAAAATGTTATAATTTTAGGGCAATGTGTCGGTCATATAGTGCCTCCCCGCGGAACCAATGACTTTGGTTGGGATCCATGTTTCCAGGTAGTCTCTTGGATTTATTTATTCATTTATTTATTTGTTTATTTATTCCTTCAGTTATACGTTGGACCACTACAGTGGTTCTCTCTTAAGAGGATCACAAATTTTGAAGCTGCTGTTGCCTAGGTGACTTGCTTAGCACATGGAATCGGACGCATAGTTTTGTACTGCCCCGTCACCTAATTTGCGCTTAATTTCCCTCAACACATGCTGTGTTTCGAAATCAGCTCGTCGATCCCTACAAATGGGTGGAAATATCACGTCGGATTCCGAGTATTAGCCGAGCATTACTAACAGTTCTCTGTCGATCACTGTATGTTATCATTTCAGCCACAAGGATTTCTCGAAACATTTGCCGAGATGAGTAAAGAAACTAAGAACAGAATAAGTCACAGAGCAAAGGCTTTAGAACTCGTCAAGAAGTTTCTTGAAGATAGGAATTGATGGTGAAATATTTTACATGTCGTTGATATATTTTCATGTTTATGCAGAAGAACCTACTATGTTGTCGTGTTGTTCTTTAATAAAGTTCGTTATTTGTTGTTATAAGTCATTTCTTGTGTCGACTTCACACATCAATCTATCAGATCCGAATAGTGAAACTGTAGTAAGCAAAATAATTCCAGTACGTCCTTCATGTATGCTCAAGTTACGCAATTGGCTTAGTAGAATACTATTTTCAAAGATGAAAGTGATTCGTAGGGATCCGGTGGGTTTATTTTAGCAAGTTATTTGCCCGAGTCAGATTGCATGGCCATAGGTTTTAAATTGAGCATAGCATAGGTGTCAACACCTCAATCGGAAGCTGTTTAGGTTTTATTCGTTGTCGGCTGTACAGGTACTGGTAAAAGTGAGCTAGGTGTGGCTATAGCAAAAAAGTACGGAGGAGAAGTGATCAGTGCTGATTCAATGCAGATTTATAAAGGTGGGAGGATCTGATAATTCTCGAGAATTTTATCCCAGTTCGACTACGGCCTAGTTCATCTCGATCATCTGGAAGTGTTTGTTGGAGCTTCGAGGTTCTTACCAGTCGTTTTTTTGGGGTGGATTTTCATTTGTTTTTACTTACCTCCTCTGTAGACAGTCATTTTCACTGTTTCCACAGTTAGCTTAGTTCTTTTGCTTGAAAGTTTTTTGTATGCCACTGATTGCTTTTAATTCACTGGACGTAAGTGTCGATTTGGGATGAGGAATAGCTTATAGAACCAAGTGTTGGATAAATCAGTGATTTACTCATTAAAAAGAGTTTCTTTACTTATTTGCTGTTATAAGGATGTTAACGGAGTTGGTTTTACACTTGGAAATAACATGTATGCACTAAATTGTCTTTTCACTGGATTACCCAAAAAAAGCCAACTGGTCGTTGTAATATCCAAGTGCAGTAAGCGTTTTCAGGACTTGACATTGCCACAAACAAGATAACCGAGGATGAATCAGAAGGAATACCTCACCATTTGATGAGTTTTGTTGACGCCACTAACTCTAAATACAATATTCATGAGTTTCGTGAACAAGCACTTAACATTATAGAGGTAAGTCTGGGAATTGTGATTTATTGGATACAGACTGGTGCCATATTACTCAATAACTGTGCACTTCTACATTTTGTATTAGCCTTCAACTTCAAATACGTTTATGAAACCTTATAAATTGAAAGAAGTGCAGTAGAATTCCAGGCTTCTAGAGCGCACGGGTCACTTATAGGTATTTTTGTCGTTTGCGGTTGTTTAATTTCTGCTTTTTAACACTTTGGCAAAAAGTTGACCATGTATGGCTGACGCTGTAGCAGACAAATTGGCCTTATCGAGTCATGTACGGCTCATTTCTTTCTGGCCGTTTATTTTACCATATGAAGAGGCGTGTGTGGCGCAGTTGTCGAAGGCTCAGTGCAATACACATGGGATCGATCCCCACAGCGATGGCTCACCAACCTTGCCATCCCTCAAGGAGACTTGTCTTGGAGATAGCAGCACTGAATCGATACATCGGTAGGCCACCGCGGATCAGTTTAAAGGCAAGATGTGTATTCAGTCGCCTCCAACGATATTTAATGAGGCTGGATGCATGGCGCATCCCTCAGGGATAGATCAAAGCCGAGAGCTTAATCCTTTGATTAATGGAGCTTTCTGCTGCAAGTTTTCTGGATCTTCGATAGCTTATCTAATACAGGAGTTAGAAATAGACAAAGAACCGAAAATTCATCGACTTATTAGTTTACCGTTACTTCAATTTCAATCCCTGTGATGAATATGGGTCATTGCGTGAAATGGGCGGGTGTAAAAAATATAAGCGTACACGCAACGTAAGCTAAAAATTTTTTTTTACGAAAGTGCGGTTTGGCAGCGGAATATTGTAACATTGTAACGTACAGCAAATAGAAGCATATGCTATGTATGCCCCTAGAGCGATAGAGAAAAGTCTCTTCCATTACTTTGTCATGCTGTCAATCCCTCATGCGCTCTGGTTACCGAAAAATTATTGTCTGCCGTCGAAAATCCGGTAATTACATAACGACATGAAATTGAATGTTGCTCCATGCGTTGGCTGCAGAGCATGAGGCGTATGCCCTAGTGTGGTAAAGAAAGGTGTTTGAAAACGTTTCGGTAGGTTAGTGAGAGATCTGTTGAGTATGCCCATTATGGACAAAGTATGGGCGAAGTTTCGTACCGTATTCCTCAACCATTGGTTTTGCAGCGTATTGTGGAGACGAAAAAGAATTAGTGCTCTTAATTCATAAATGACAATCACAGTAGTTGTCGTTTTTGAGGATTTTTACTACTGCCCGATACTTTACTTCCCTCGAATAGTTTCAGCACGATTAAAGCCATAGTGCATGTTTGTATATACCGAGGATGAAAAATTCTGCACAACACTTTCTAATGTAAATTTCATTTCGAAGAGTATTTCGGTGTTTCTCCGTTGTCCATCGTTGCTCGGACTGTCAGCGGTTGTCAGAATCCATTTTTCGTCATGTATCATATGTAGAGGTGCATCTAGTGCAGTGGTTAGAAATCCCTTGCAATACACATGGGTTCAAACTCGCGTCTCAGGCTCACCAAGCCTTCCATTCCTCCGAAGTCGGCATACTGGCACCAGACTTGTCTGGGAAATTAGCACAACTATGGATACATCCGTAGGTCACCGCGAGTCATTGTTGGGACGTAAACGGATTAATTCACCTCTAGCAGTGTTTGTTGAAGTTAAATGCATGGCGCATCCCTCAGGTATTGGTCAACGCCGAGAGCTTTGTTCTTTTTATAATACATGATGAAGAAAAGCTGTTTTTTTGCACACCAGAGTAGCAGAAGAGTTCTTTAAACAACGTTCGTCCAGTTTACGAAGAGTTCATTTGTGTTCTCTTTCAATGACCTTAATTTCGCTTGGCTCCACAATCTTTGCAATCGTTGCGCATAGGTCTGCTTTGAAATAGGCGACTTTCATTGGTTATCGTCTGGGCAGTGGATCTTCCTCCACCTTCTCCATTTTTAGGTGTTATTGGTGAATTTTAGAACTAGACGTTGCGCCGTGAAATTTTAAACAGTTCCATTGCCAAGTGCAAACTTTGTATCATGAGCGGTGCCGCAATTTTAATTCCGTACTTGAATTTATGCGAAAAATTACTTGAATTGAGTCGCCCCGTTCTTCATTCTTGCACATGAAATTGAACGAGATTCAGCATAGAAGCAAGAATTTTATCGTAGAGATAAAGAGAGTAAAGAATAATGTGCTGAGGATAGGGGTATTCATAAGAGATGCGCCATGCATTCACGTCCATTACGTATCGTAGAGATGAATGAATGCGCTACTGGCATTCTACAACATCCATAAAGAAGACGAAATCCGCAAGCAGCAGCCGAAACAACACGCGAAATGCTCGAATACCTTTGTGGACGATGAATACCTGGAAAAAAGAATTGAATGCAAGGAGTGCTGAGATCCGCACAGCAGTTATGATGACGGATCATATAAAAAATATCTATATTTATCTTTATCACATGAACGATTTGGGCTTCAATGGGCGTCGCTTGCGAGAGCGACACGAGGAAAGGAACGCCACCTTTTTCGTGTGAGGTCTGTAATTTTATTCTCTTTTTGTTGGAGGTTATTCACGGTCATCCCTCTGTTGTAGGAGAACGCATGAATTTTTGATGTTTTCTTAATAGTAGTATATCGTATTTGCTGGAAGCAAGCCGGAACCGACTCCCATTTATTTTTCAGTCGTTACATTGAAGGACTTTGAACGACACTAGCACACCCACCGCACTAATTCATCTGCACGTAGATGAGCGCAGGTGAAAGTATATGTTGAATAAGAGTCAATCAAGCGTTTATGAGTTCAAATTTCAACACATACGGGACCGCTGCTTATTTCGTGGGTGCTCAAAAAAACGGTGAATTCGTCTGCAATTTAAATATGACAGTGCTAGTTTTTTCGACAATAAACGGTAAATTTTCGATGGCTGGTTGACTTATGGAGTTAAAAACATAACAAAGCTATAAAGAATGATTTACTTTGTCCATCTGGGAGTTACTAAAGTATCGCGAGAGTACAAAAGACCGCTCTGTCTCACTTTCATCGATTTAAAGCCTTAGAGACAGAAGCAGTAATGAAAGTCCTTGATAGTCAAGGGGTCCCTACTCAGTACATAAAGATTCTTCTTGAGCTGTATAAAAATTTCACAACGAAAATTCTTCAACGATATTAACATAGACATCACAAGAGAGGTTAGGCATGGCGATACCATTTCGCCAAAATTATTTACCTCCACCCTTGAGAACATCATGCGAACTTGGAATGGGATAATGTTGGAGTGAAAATCAATAGTCGGCAATTACACAATCTTCGCTTTGCTGATGACGTCGTCCTTATAACACTAAACATATCCGAGCGGAACGAATGCTTGCCTACTTTGATAAAGCTTGTGGAAGGATTGGTCTTCGACTAAATCTCACAAAAACGATGTTCATGAGGAACGGACTGGTTTTGTATGCCCCATTCACGCTCAATGGAACGAATATCTCTGAATTCTCCAGCTATGTCTATCTAGGTCGGGAAATCAATATGATGAACAACCTAGCTCCAAAGTTGGGCAGAAGGAAACAAGCGGCTCGGGGAGCTTTCAAGAGCATTGAGGATGTAGTGAAGAAAACAAAGAACACTCGACTCCGTACTCACCTTTTCGACCCAATGGTACTTACTGCGTTAACGTATGTGTCAGAAACCTAGTCGCTGCGTGAACTGGATGAAAAACCACTCCGCGTTATTGAACGCGCAATCGAAAGGACGATGCTAGAAGTATCCCGTGTCACGTAAGTAAAGGAAGGGATCCGAAGCTCCAACCTGCGCCAATGATCAAAAGTCAAGGATGCTGTTCTATACGCCAAACAGTTGAAGATAAGGTGGACTGAACACGTAATGCGTATGAATTACAACCGATCGACAA